CAAAGCATGAGTATTGACTTTCACTGCGACACAATCAATATGTGAAGTTCACGTTATAGGGTAGAGTAAGAGTATATAGAACCATAGACTAAAGAAGTGTTGAAGCAGGTTTCCGTAAACAGCAGAAAAAAATGCTCCCGTTCAAGGGCATCATTCTAGGCAGGAATCCACCTTTTCGTTGAACTTTAATGTCCATCGGTTCAGATTGTCATGGTGCTCCCAGAATCCCTTTTCGAAACCTCCTTCGCTCTGTCCGATCACCATCGCAAGTCGTTGGTCGAAATCTTTGTTGTCGGTATCGAACCTGTTGAATTTCACTTTACGAATGTTAGAATTTTGAATAAAACCTCAATTCAGTTCATCTCAATGGCAACTGCATTAATGTGCTAGTGGTATGTCCTTCCTACACGACATTCTAAACATAACGATTGAAATCACAATGTTAACTTTTACTCGGTGTTTACTCCATAAAACTCGATAACACAGGTGTCTGCGGTGGGGAACGAACGCGCTATTACCCTTTCCAGTGGGGTAACGTGTTTGCTCGTTGACGAGTCGTTGCAAATGGCACTGATCGATAGAAAACTTACTGAGAGACAAGCGAAACGAAGTACTGCATGGTGTGGTGGTGAACTCGTTAGCTCCCGGAAGGGGTAATAGCCCGTTCGTCTCCACCGCAGACACCTGCGGTTCGGAGTTTTGCAAATATCTCAGCACCATTATGGTTATAACAGTTGAGTTAAAAATAGTGAAAACAAAATTCGGACCCATAACAGGCACTTTTCTACGTCTTATTAAGCTCGGAATATAATTGTTCTAGAAGATAAATGCACCCTCCTTGCAATACTACCTGATCTTTTCATAGTGCGTTGGACATAAAACAGCGAAAAATAGTCGAAAAACTTCTTGAGCGAAAACCGTCATCGTTCAAATAACGGCATTTCAATAGTGATACCAACCAACATTTTCGTTTAATCATTCTTCCTTGTCTGAAGAAGTGTCTGAAGAAGAAATCTAGAGTACCGTGTCAATGATGCAGCGTTGTGGTGATGTGATATAGCAGTGTCCAATCCACCCACCGAGCACAGATCAGAACCATCTTGTAGTGAAAGCTGAAAGCAATGTCATTAGAAGTTGCTTCTCCGACGTTATAAACCCTAGAAATTTCCATAAACCCACCTGTAATCCGGAGCTTCTTGAGCCTTTCATACTGTTGCTTCCACTTCCAGCGCCAGTCTTTCGTACTGCTTTGTCTTGTAAGAAATTTGCTGCTTCCACACTGCTACCTAAATTTCGCACAGTTTTGACCATCAACATGATTCGAATCGATATTTCGATATTATGATTGATATGATATGATAATGATTCGATATCGAATCCGAATCCAGAAGAGGATCGATTTCCCAACATATTTCATGGTAATATTACTTGTAAAGCATAAAATTCATCTACGCTCTTCCTTTTCTAATCATTCGAATTTCTTTTTACATTCTATCCTAGAGAAAGTTTTCGTTTTAGAAAGAAAACACGAAATAAAGCACAAAAATTGAAAGTACCATGTAAATTGCACGTAGCCAGAGCTTGTAGCGACGTCGACTTCCTATTGTCTTCCATGATGCAAATAGAGTTCGACTAAAAATAACAAGTGTTTTGTATAGACTTCCAAAAACGTTTCTAAGAAGATAATCCGGACTGATTTTCTTCAGGAAAGCATGTCGTATTAGAAGTGCTGTCACAGTCAGTACAGTTTAGCGCTAAAATGAGCATCAACTGCAGCACTGTATACACTTAATGATGCCAGTAATCGCTACCGTCTCTTCCACTAGTCATTGTGTCGAACTGCCTTTTAGTAACGGTTGTCATCTAATGTAGTACTACATCACTTCTCTTTCCTAAAGTACCTTATTACTATTGAACCCTTATATTTCTTATGTTATTTAATAGAACATGTATCTTTCTCAAGGTGATTTTACCGAAACATACCTCTTTTGGGAGTAACTGAGTTGATTTATCCCTGTCAGCAAGTTTCATCCTAAGCGAACCACCACCACTGGATCGAGTTGTACACGAGTTCGTATGACTCAATTTCAACTTTCCTGCCAATATCTGCAAAATTTTTCTATGGAAAAGATTATCCACCGCTCTGTTGAACTGGAGGCTTTTTTTAATATTCTTCGAAATCGGCTTCCTCAAAGGCTAACAACAGTGTCACGTTTTTACTATGACGCACCTTATTTCGAGTGTTCCCGGATAAAGCGCGCTTCATTATCGTGCACCTATAGACCTAGGTAGAAGGCAACCACGTAGCCTTGCAACTAAGCAGGTTAAATCCCTCAAACAAAGAAGATCTGTGGGTGTTTATCACATGCACTTCATATATTTCTCACAATTTCGATTCTATGGACATTTTTTTTATTTCGTTAAATCAGCAGTACACACTTCACAACTGAGTTCATTTCTTTATTTTACTTCTATCATACTGAAAACGAGAAGAAATATTACTCGCTCTTATGACGGTATTTACAAAAGTTTGCACGTTTTGTAACGTTTGCAGATAATCAGAACGACGACAATCGGCCGAGGCCAATTCGTACCTGCTTCAAACCGCTTTTGGCTTTGGTAGAGCCAGTGGTCGTCTTCCTGGTGGCAATCTCGCGATCTGATCCCGAATCCGGACCGTCTTCCAATGAGTCGCGTATTCTGCCCTTTATGAAATACGTCTTCATACCTTAAACAACATCTGTATTTTTTGTTCTACGACGACATTCCTATAAGAGAACGCTGTCATCTGTCATGAGCACAACAACATCATGCACAGCACTGATCAATGCCGCGATTTGATAACAACTGCCACTTGGGGAGGTATAGGTAGGCCGGGACGATAAGGTGGAAAATATTGAACAAGAAAATAAAACTCACTGGCTGGTTTGACTCGTCGTTCCGTTCCTTCGACTTGCATTCTCAGCGGTCCTAAAGATGAAAATTTGATGAACGAAAAAGCAATGGTAATTGTTAGGGAATTTTCCGAAAACCATCAGAGTTAGAGAAGCATGGGCGTCACATTTTAAGCATATGGGAAAAGTCATTAGAATGAACTAAGGGAAGCCAACAGCACCCACCATCACCTTTACTGGAGCAGGAGGTTCCTGAAGTAAGAAAGTTGCTACAGTTAATACAGCTAACCCTTGTCAGTACAACAGCCACCAACTGCAGTACCTTAGGCTATCAGTATTGAAGTTTGCAATTGGAGATAGCCTACAGTCATCTTGGTACAAAAAAATTTCGGATGCGAATCATTTTGATGGTCCAAAGTTCTTCACAAAAGTACAAATCAGCACCAGCAACCCAGTTATTAGGGTTATCAGCCTGTTCCGTAGCATATGGTTAATCAATAGTCTGTCACCATGACAATTTGACTAGCAATACCTTGATGAGAACAGCATTATCGCCGCTATCACAAGAATAATAAAGTTCCTAATCCACTTTTTGTGATATAATGTCTGTTCAAAAAAGTAAAGTAATTCTGCCATGACCGACTTTCTATTAACCTCGGCATTGATCAAGTGATTTTCTTCGTATTTTTGTTGAGCAAACGCGAGGTGTTACTATTCTTTGTTCACGATTAAGCTGACGTTTCGGCGGATTTCGCCTTCTTCAGAGCCCGCTCACTATTCTCCTCCAGAGGTGGTCCTCCAAATATTTAGCACAAAAGTTTTCCTTCGTCTCGCACTTCTTCCACTTGGCGAACATCTGGTTTTGTCGGCTTCGTAGACAAGTGCGTAGTATTCGCAATTCGACGTCCAATACTTGGTGACTGTCCTCTGGTAGACCGCATACGTCGTGTAGTCTTCGTTTGATGAAGTTCGGAACGACTTGATGTTTTAGACAGCGGCGGAGAAAGTGTATTGACTGTCGAGCTAGTGTATCACTTGATCAATGCCGAGGTTAATAGAAAGTCGGTCGTGGCAGTTACTGCAAGATGTACCAGCAAAATACTTCCGACTTGTAAAAGAAGCGCTGTCACTGAGACAAAAGATCGTCTCAGCTCGACAGTCAATACACTTTCTCCGCCGCTGCCTAAAACATCAAGTCGTTCCGAACTTCATCAAACGAAGACGACTACACGACGTATGCGGTCTACCGGAGGACAGTCACCAAGTATTGGACGTCGAATTGCGAATACTACGCACTTGTCTACGAAGCCGACAAAACCAGATGTTCGCCAAGTGGAAGAAGTGCGAGACGAAGGAAAACTTTTGTGCTAAATATTTGGAGGACCACCTCTGGAGGAGAATAGTGAGCGGGCTCTGAAGAAGGCGAAATCCGCCGAAACGTCAGCTTAATCGTGTATAAAGTAATTCTGTTTTTATTAGATAATGAAATATTAAAAGTGGATAAAATGTTCGGCTTCGATGAATACCATGCATTCGGTTGCAATAAGCATTGTAAGGGTGAATGAATTTTATATATGGCTTGCACTTGCGGTGGCCTACCGATGTGTCAACCCAGTATCCTCCTAGACAAGTCTGGAACAAATTTATCATTCCGAATGGACTGAGAGCTATTTTAGCACAAAGCGCAGAATTCAACTAATGACCACGCGTTTATTAAAGGGTACCTCTAATGTATGCGCTACATGTGCCCCGATCAAGCATTAGGAGAGAAAGAAGTTTACAGAATTTATGGCCAGGATCCAAACTACCACCTTCTTTTTGGCAAGTAGTTCAGAAAACAACTAAAAGTCTCACAAGATTTGCACATTTTCGACATTCCAACCTAATAAAAATACTGGTAAATTCAAGCTATAGGCTGGGAGACATACCAAAGTGAATTACGCAAAGTACTAAGGCACTATATAAGTACATTAATGAACACATGAGAGAATTCTGAATGAAACCTCGTAGTAGGTTCTGCTTTCCTATCCTTTTTATTGAAATACAACGCAACCTTCAAAACATGTGGCTCTAGAAATCCTATGTCCTTGAAACCAATGAAAACACTTAAAAACGCATTCCTATGAGAAAATAAAGTTGTCCATCCTTGTTAAGAAGTCCAAACATAGCCAGCTTACCGTCATAGTCAGGACCTTCTTCCAGAATGTAGTCTTCCCTTAAGTACTTAGCCGTTGCTTCGGACACGTGCACTCTGAAGCGGTTGCACATTTTTCTAATGAAGTCAATAGTGCGAAATTTAATCCACAACACGAATGGAAAAGCTTATAGGCGTCTAGCGAAATTTCTCTTGAATCTGTCCGGCAATGTCTCTTCTGAAAAGGAGGTTAAAAAACCAATTTCATTGGTTGGTAGAGGACCTGCCAGCGATTCCAGTCGACTCCATCTCGTTCGCCAACGTAACATCATTTGAGAAGACGTCGAATTTGAAGCGTTTCGTGCCCACCATGCCACACATTACCTAAATCCTAGCCGTAGAAACTCGTTAAAAGTTCTGAATAATTGATTCAAATTTCTTAACTTTCCAGTTTCTTTCCTCAAAGGTTTTTCTGAGACGTTCAATACCTAACAAATTATCTTCAAATGTGAACTACAACCACAATGATGCCCAGCTATTTGCAAAATGTAAAATGCAAAGAAAAACTGTCCGAAAGAAGAGCAAAGCGAAGGCCTCGGTGGTGCAGTAGCACATGAGGCCCCGCGAAAGGGTGGGTTCGAAGCTGGCCTGAGGCTCGAGTTTTGCAAAATTTTTCAGCATCATTGTGACTGTATTTCACATAACACCTTGCCATGAAAAAATAACAGGCAGTAAATAAAGTGTTAAATATTATCTTCAAGTTACTTTCTAAATTCGAAATTGCGCTATAAAAAAGTCTGTAATAATCTGCAACCACAGTGATAAAAGATAGAAGATAAAGCACCGGAAGTTGACTAATCCCTGAGAGATGCGCCATTCATTCGAGTTGATCAAGCATCGTTAAAGGTGAGTAAATACACTGCTGGTCTACACAACGAACGCGGTCGCATACACATGTGTCAAGTCAGTGCTGCTACTCTCCCAATCAGGTCTGGTACCAATTTGTCAACCTCATAAGGATGGAAGTCCTAGTGAGCTCGGGGCACGGGAGGGAACCAGTGACCTATCCGAAGGGTATTGATCAGCACCTCCAACTACTGTGCTATTATACAGCGCTATAACAATAAAGAAATACGAAATAATTGGCAATAATGATCCCTACGCTCATCATCACTACCGGTTTTTGTTGTTTTAAGCTGAAATAAAAAAATAGAGTGTCAAAAAAAAGCAAATGAACAAGCAAATGTAATAAATCCCACTGGAATCACAATGATACTGAGGTATTTGCAAAACTCCGGACCGCAGGTGTCTGCGGTGAGGAACGAACGCGCTATTATCCTTTCCGGGTGTTAACGCGTTCACCACTACACCAAGCGGGTCCTTTGTTTCGCCTGTCTCTCAGCTCGTTCTATCGATCAGTACCATCACCTACCGTGTCCTACCGCGAAAGTGTAGTAGGAAGCAAATAAAAAAGTTAACTTAAAAGACACCTGCGGTCCGGAGCTTTGCAGATATCTCAGCATCATTAAAGTTATATTTCGCAATATATCCTGCCGTTAAAAAGAGTAAGCAGTAAATAATAAGTTGAACTTGTGATTATAATTGCAGCCTCAGCTGAACTGGGTTCGCTGCCCATTTGAGCTCCCAGATCAATCCCACTGACGGGTGATTGCTGATGGCAAAAAATTAACAGAACTACCTGAGAGACAGGCGAAACGAAGGACCTGCGTGGTGTGGTGGTGAACGCGTTACTCCCCGGAAAGGACAATAGCGAGTTCGTTCCCCACCCCAGGACAGCTGCGGTTAGGAGTTTTGCAAATATCTCAGCATCATTTTAAAAAGTTAACGTTAAAATTATTTAATTTGCTTCATCGGAGGTTTCAATCAATATTGTTAAAAACCTCTATAGTTCCCGAATTATTCATTCTTCGCCTTTTCACTTTTCATTTTCCTCAGTGTCTTGTCACAGTCTCCGACTCGCACATTTTCTGATGAACTAATTAATTCCGATGTGAATTCAACTCGCTGACCTTTCCAGTATGAATTCCGACTCGCATATTCACATCTTGGCCGCGAGTGATGTCGAATTGACGGATTGCGACGATCATGTTCAGACCCATCTCTACCGTACGGATAGCGTGATCTGAGCATGGTTCCGGACATCCAGCTACGCAGTAGTAGCAGTCTCCTATCATGGTTATAACTATTAATCGTCTTTAGTGATGCTGAATCTGTTCAATTCTTTCTTCTTGCTTTACTGCTGGTGAATGAGCTTAATGTACCTTTCTAGCCATTTGTTTAAAATTACTTAGTAAAAATAATTCACTCAGATATTTACTACTCTTAGGCAGACCATGTGATTTGACCAAACATAGTGTCATGGATCCCCTCACATGAATGGACTTGAACCGGTTAGTCGCGAAACCACTTAAATGGAGCGTCCCCGAATATTGAGGACATGGACTAAAATCGACAATGTGCTCGCGCTGAGACGCGGACGAAACCACGGAATAGACTTGTCGTTGTCGCTCTGTCAGATTGACTTATGTCTTCCACATCTACATAATCGTAGTCATCTATACGTATGTGGACATGCTTGCTTGCACCACCTATATCATACATGTCCAGTAAGCTTAAATCCAGGAGTGAAATCAGTCAGGAGAACATGTAAAGCGGTTAGGAGTCGCTTTGAACAATTAAGACCATTGTGTCCTAAGCGAATGAAGCTCATTGGAAAGTGTACTTGCAGAATGGGGACTAATGAACACTTCACTGGTGTCAACATAAGTCACTCGATGGTGTAATGATTATGCAAATGCAGACACTTTATGGAACATTCAGTATCAACAAGAGTAATAGGTAATAAATAAATAAATGAATAAATGATCGATGTCGCCAAAATCGGGTAGTTTAACAGAAAAAAAACAAAATAACAGGGAACATAAGTTAGAGAACAACACCCAGCGATTCAGTAGCATTTAAAATTTGTTCTAGACGAAACATCCACATAAAACATGCAGAACTAAAAGACTTCAGTACTACTTCTTCTGCAGAGTTTCCAAGACGTTCTATGTTATAAACGCTTCTAGTTTTTACTGTTCACCGCTTAGGTGTGTGGCGAATGAGATGAAACTAGGATGATGTGATTCAACAAATCCATCATCTATTCGTGTAATAAACTACCTAGATAAAGGTTAAATTGAAGAACAAACGAAAACGGCAAAAACTCACCTAGGGTGCTGATCTTCTCTAATCCTCCTACACGGCACAAGTTATCAAATCTGTAATGGGTTAAAAAAGACTTCTGTGAACGAAAGTTCTATGTATACATTGCTATTTATAATGTTGTTGTTACAACTGCTATTTTTAGAACACCTAACAAACAGCATAAAACCAAAAAAAAAAAATAATTTATCCACTGAACTAGACATGACTCCACGTTCAGCACACCTTCACACCTTTTTTACCGGTATTCATTTTGTCGAACAATTTTATTCGACTTCTTCGTCCTAATGTTCTCGAATCAGTGTAATTTTACTTAAGCGGCTTTAAGAGTTAGGGCGAGCCAAAGACAAATAACATCCCATTAATGGGTGCTTTTATAAAAAGTGGCATTTGCCCATAAGCTAAAAATGGAGAGCACATGTCAATGTAGTGATTACGGTAGCGTCCTGAAAGCGACGTCAATTCCAAAAAAAACCCGTTGATGAAGGGTTCCTCTACTTCAAAATGATTTACGCAAATAGGGGAGTGAACATATCAACTAAATGATGCATATGTCGATATTTAAGTTTTTGTGGACGAGTTTCACCGGAATGTTTTTTGATCACCAAAAATGGATGTCTGCCCAAGAGTTGGCCAAGTGAGAACCGAACCACTAAAACGGTCCAAGTGGTAGAGATCACACTGTAAATCTCTGGGCAGTTAATAACAGACTCAAATTAAGTTCATTGAAGGATAATGCTTATTCATTTTCTGCTAGATTGGGTTATAAGACATCATATACGGCTGTTATAAGGAAATAACCAACCTTCCGAATAGGTCATTAAGCAGATTCACTAGTTCGTCAGCTGACTTATTGGATGACATCTTAGTGAATCCAGCAATATCAGCAAATAGAATGGAGACATCTGTCATCAGATTCATGGTGAATGGTCGGAATTTCCTCACATCCGGAACGGTTTTCAAAAGTGTTAACGCTAAAATATTGATTGTAACTCATACTGCAAGAAGAAGAAACAACCAGTATGTAGAATGTTCTAAGAAAGAAAAAACAGTCAAGATATTTGGGAAAGACGCAGTTCAAAAGAGCCAAAAACACACCAAAGAGCCTCGATGGTTGGTCCGAGTATGAAAGTTTATAAGGTATATTTAGTAATGAAACCTATCTAGGGTCAATGGAAATAGCTAGGGGCCCTGTTGAAGGTAAATATAATTTCCGAAAAAAATTCTACCACGGTTAAAAATATAGGAATTACGTTGCTCGTCAGTGTTTCCTGTCTGATTGGTGGCGTTTGAAGCACGACAGTTCGAATCGAAACTTGCAGATGGTCGTCGTAGTTCCAACGCATCCTTCAACAACTCGTCTGCCACCTAAATCAAATCTAACGGTGATCATAAGGCACCCATATTGGGATTGGAACTTTGTTTGCTGAAACCTCAACAATTGAAAGGAATATAAAAACTAAACCTAAATCAAATCTCTGGTCCCCAACTGGTTTTCAATACTTCGAACTTTTTCGGTTTATATTTGTTTCATCTCTCCCGAGACAGAAAATTGGTATCACACCGGACATCTATGCGAGAATAAATACACTGACGCCTATACTACTGGAATATTTCATCGGCTCTAAAAAAGACGAAAACGTCGAGACGTTAGCCGAATAAGGATTTCTTTATCAATCTTGTGTTACCTTATCAATGAAAGAGATGAATATGTCGACTAGTCATACCGAGATTAAAGGAAAGTCGGTTTTTGAAATAAATACATTGAATGCGTTGTTTTCTTATTCAGCAAACGCGAGGATGTTTAACAGCATACATTTACTTCCATAGAGAAACACAATATAATACAACGCTAGCTGACGTTTCGGCAGTATCGCCCTCTTCAGAGCCTGGAAGGGTATACTGATATACAATCAACCAGGCCAAACGCTTCAATAACACAAAAAGACGAAAAACTCTATGGTAATTACATGGTCCACAGCTTCTCGAAAAACTCACCGCTTTTTACGTGACTTCCAATGAGGAGGATTGGAACAGCTGATTATAGTCGCATATGGTTGATGACTGCACCATCCCACATCAGAAATTGATGCAAACATATGGGGTCAGATCGCGTATAACCTGTGGGCATTCATCCCTGCTATTCATTGTAGGGTTTTTGGCACTCATCCAAAAACCCTCTAGAAGTTTTCGCGCTGGTGTTTTAGTCTTCTGTGCAAGGATATTGGCTTTTACTTCAAAATTGTCTCCGCTATGCTTTTGTATCCTATGCATGCCTAGAGGGGTACTTTGTCTTAGTTTTCGTTTGCCATCTAGGTCTTCTTTTATACGGATACACAAAGGTCTGCCCGTTTCGCCAATATATTCATTTCTGCAATTATTACAAGAGATCAAGTATATCGTACCTGCACTCATGCAATCACCGTCCCTGCCGTAAGGGCAAATTACGCAATTTGTTGTTTCACATAGACGGTCATACAGGCGGTTACTAACCAAGTGATGTGGTATTTCAACTATCGCTACCGATTCCTCTAGACCTGCCCTTTTTAAGCACCGTTTAATAGCTACGCTTACTTCATCGCCGCATCAATCTTCCTCATTGAAAGTCACATAAAAAACGGTGAGTTTTTCGAGAAGCTGTTGATCATGTAATTGCCATAGAGTTTTTCGTCTTTTTGTGTTATTGAAGCCTTTGGCCTAATAGATTGATATCAGTATAGCCTTCCAGGCTCTGAAGAGTGCGATACTGCCGAAACGTCAACCAATGTTGTATTGTATTGTGTTTCTCTATGGAAGTAAATGTATGCTGTTTAACAACCTCGCGATTGCTGAACAAGAAAACGACGCATTCATATTCCAATGCCGAGGTTAATAGAAAGTCGATCCTGGGAACTAAATACATTGATTTAGTTGACCGACAACCTCTCGTAAGCTAGAAATTAAGCCTAGGGTGTTAGGAATGGAGTCGAACGGCATGGTGCATCAAGGATCTGATCAGCGCCGAAAACTTTATCCTTCATCTTTTTTGGTAAGTTAAAAGCTCCTTTATAAACAATATTTAGTGTAGACAAGAAGCCGACACCAGATAAAAATAATCACTGGTGACATCACTCCAGTCGGCAACTGTTTCAGTTTGTCAGCTTCACACTGGCGATCAATCTGTCAACGGTGCACACTGGCTTGCTGATTTAAATGAGTCGTTGTGATGAATATGAATTGTGGTCTCTTTCGACATCATTACGAACAATCTCAAATGCAATCCAATTCGATCCTTCAGGAATTCTGTAAGAACGTTACATCGATTTCTTGTCACAAACTGCAGGTGAACGCGTTTCAAACAATGACGATGATGACGGATTTCAATGTGTACACACACTGATAATGTTCGGTTACTTGAACTTAACGAATTTATGAATTGACGCTTGGCTTCGAAATAGGATATGCTTATGGCGGCTGCATTTTCACTTGTGTAATCTCTTAACGGCATTCGGCATTTCTCTTCAACGACTCACAACAGGATGTTAATAAAATCCTTAGTATGAAGGCCTCAAAGGATTTCTGAGTAAAAAAGCGTTTAGGTTTCTAATGTGAATTTCTCCTACAATGTAAACTGAATCTGAACAATGAAATGCCAAGCAGTACTTCAATAACTGTGACTGATGTGTTCAGTTGACTATGAGAGCTATTTAATAAACGGAAGTCGTTTAGTGCTTAAAAGATAGATGTGAACACCTACCTTTTTGGGCATGACGGATTGAATCATATGATCTTTGAATTGCGTCTCCAGCTCCAAATCCTTTCTAGCAAGAAGCGACTGGCCCACCTTCAAGAATGTTTTTCGTTGTCGCACCTGGAACAGAAGAAATCACTCTCCGTTCTCTCTTAAGTGTCTCTTTCTCTTCCTTCAATGAAAATAACAATTGGAATAAAGAAGAATGTTATTCACTGCCATTTGAACTGGAAATTATATAGACTCAAGTTCATAATGATAGTGTAAATGTGAGCTTATGATGAGAGGATATATTACTTAATTAATGAATTAGATCAAACCACGCTTCTAATGATGTTCTATAGCCAATGTTTCTTAACAATCGCTCACGCACTGATTTAGCTCATTTACACGCTTAAAACTAAAAGCTCTAAAGGATAAAGCTGCTGGTGCTGACCAATCTCTGAAAGATGCGCCATGCATTCGACTTCATTAAGCATCGTTGGAGGTGATTGAATGCATATCCGGCCTTTACAATGACTCGCAGTAGCCTGCCGGTGTATCGAGCCAGTGCTGCCGACCCCGGAGAGATGGAAGGCTTGGTGGGCCATGGGCTTAGGGGTCGATTCCACGTGTGCGTTACAGAGCGCCTCCAACTACTGCGCCATACGTCGCCTTACATAGGCTTATTTCAAAACGTGGGAAACGGAATGACATCTTAGAAGTGATTATCACGACCCTTCAAATATTCTAAACATATAAAACCATTCAATTGACTGAAGTACTCTATTCAGGTGGAAAACCCCACCTAGTAATGTAAAAACAATAAAAGTCCTACGAAACGATGATGAATGTACGTTCAGTGTGGTGTGCCCTTGTCAAAATCCCTCTTACAGGTTACTTGCCTGAGGCGTTTTTTACATTTTCAGTCTTAGTTCAACTTAGGATAAATCGTTATTCGATCCAGCTCCCGAATATTCGACTTCATTCTATGACGCTGGTGAAGCTATGTGATAGTAGAGCAACCTTTTAGAGATTGTTTACGTCGCATCTAGACAGCTCACCTAATTCAATATGTCAGAGGAAAGCCAGTATTGAGAGTACACATTCCTACGCTGTTATTAGGCGTTAAGATGAAAACCTATCGGTTGTTTACGCTTTAAACACACTTCATATGAGGACGCTTCTTTTTAAGATGGTTGTAACCAATACAAGAGCTGTATGGGTACGAGATCTAACGTACGCTTAACGCAGAAAGCCCTCGCCATCTATTCGATACTGAGGCTTAGAATTATATGGGAATGGCAGCAATTTCCCGCGCCATTTTTTCCATTTAAGCAATGATTTATCCGGTATAGATTTTCCGATTTCAATCCTCATAAATTACGCTTTTCTCGTAATGATATCGTCGAAACCCAAACCAGTAAAATCCAGAATGTCTTTAACCAGGTTGTGGCAGCTCATCAACGACGGAATGAACAAAATAACCTGCTTATTAAAGCCAAAGTCAACTGAGAGGAGGCATTTGAAGGAAGTAATGTTTTGCTCCCATAGGCATGGGATTACATAGTACTGTTTAGTGTGAAGCCCACACATCTACAGCAAACGTAATGATGAACAGCACCTATTTATATTTCAAGACCGACTTTTCTTTAACTTCGGTATGTCTAATCAATATGTATTTTTTCCTCGATAAGTCTACACGAGGTCGGGTCTAATCGTCTAATCAATATGCATTCTTTCTTTGACAACGTCAGCCGAAATGAATCTATATACCAGTCCCCTGCTAACTGCATCGGTTCTATTATGTAACAATCAGAATATTCAAAGAAGCTAAACCTAGGAGTAACTGAGTTTTCAAACTAACACTGGAACCTTGTAACTTCATATGTACCTTCTGTTGTTGTAGATGATGTTTGAACACTAAAGTTTTTGCGACGAAGCCGGCTTTTCGGTAACTGATGAAAATCTTTCGATCAATAAAGTATTTCAGGAGTTTACAACTTTAAAGATTTATAGAAGGGACTTTCCTCCAACGCATTAATCAAATGTGCAGCTGTTGTGAGGTATCCTTTCGAACGTGTACAGAACAAAAACTTTAAAAAACTGCTAACAAAACTTGGCTTTTCAAAATTTACGCTTTAGAAGCAGAGAAGCCGCAAACGGCAAACATGAACGATACACATCACTGCCTCATGCGTCAGGAAATTCCTAGTGTTCATATGCCCTGTTGTTCAAAATAGAAACTTGAACCAACAAATTGTGAAGAAAATAGGTCATCAACTCAAGAAAATACGACTACAACTTAGTGAAATAAATAGCATCTTCTAAGCAAAAATCAGTAGAATATAATGACTTTCATCTCAACTAATAAAGCTCACCATGAGCTGAGATGTTGATTCAAAACTGAATGCAAGCATTACTCTCGCATCGTATGACTCCTATGGAGATCATGTTTCAGTGTAAAAATTAATTAAACTACTACTAATATTTGATATATCTCGTCCAAACGAGTTGAGCTGAAACGACGGTCCGTTCATCTGGTCTCATTCAACTCGTCCAATCAGCTCTACTTACCACCTACCCTACTGAACATGCGTGGGTAACAAAGAAGTTGACCACACGGGATCTCTATGTCTGCACTACAGTTTTCAAAACCAGTTTTCACTAAATCACGGTAAGAACAGCCACTACCTTCATTGAGGATTAAGCAAACACGAGGTCGACAGAAAGACTATTCGGCTAACGTTTAAACGTCTTCGTCTTCTTCACAGCAGGATTGATTCGAGTTAATACACAATGTATATCAGTGTTGTAGACATACCATCAGTATTTTAACAACTAATAAAAAGAAACCTCCCCACGCTTTACCGCCTCATCGTGGCTGGGAGGTGTTCCTGGGTGTCGGATTGCGATGTACAGTGGGGAGATTCGTTCCCCCGGCAAGGTGTCCCAAACTGAGAATGAACCGACGTTGCAATAAGGAAGCCTAGCTAAGAGTAAACCAACACCAGGAACCACTACCGTCCTGATATCAAACTCGTATAATAGCAAATCTCTCTCTGATTCACAAGGGCTGCGACCGCCTGTGGGTGGTGACGACCTGGGGCAGACTTTGGCCAGGCTGACCTCAGGATTCGAGGTAACCACAATGGCTTAACCAGCAAATCTCCTAAAAATGGTGATTATGCTGGGCTTCGCACAACGAGTTAGGACGGGCCGTTCAAGTATCAAGTAAGTAATAGGAAGAAAACAAAAGTGAAAACTGAATGAAGAAACACTTGGGGAACCGAACTCATGGCGCCCGTTCTCCACATATCACAAAAAATCCGCTCTGTCTCACTGCGGTATCATTACAGTAATGGCAATGGTAAAAATAGCTTCATTTATTTAATGAACACACTTCATCGAATTGCTGTTCTCAACACCAATCTCTTAATATGGTTTCTGATCCTTCTGATTATGTACTTTATCGCCGGTATACTTTTGTAATATTGAAAGTTGAAAATCTTCAATGGAAAAAACGAAATCCGATAATAAGGGCTTAAGAAGATTTGCGACCATCCTCTTATCGAAGCAGGACGCGATGAGTTTGGTCCTCCCTCAAGCATTTCCATATTTAGTCCTTATCATTGCTTTTTTTCTTGTTACTGTTAAAAGATTGCTAACAAATTGATTACTACACGAATCTACAGTAATCTACAGTACGCATGAATTAGATCAAAATTTCTTGTGAACGACTTTTTCATTATGTGTGGTCGAATGGATGAGTAGGAGGTCCTTCGTGGACCAGGGCCGAGTAGTATGGGGGTGGATAAATGTTGTGACGTTTCTCATACACTCGTTCGAATGAAAGGTCTCGAAAATTCTTAGTCATTTAATTAATGTTCAAACACCAATTGCGATAAGGAAACAACATATAAACTTATTACGGTACCCCGGACTTAGCAACCAGATATCCTTACTGTTACTGAGAGGAGGAAAAAACATCTAAGGAGTGCTTTTAAATGCCCTAAGGATAATAATGAATGCAAATCTCGATGCGAAAATTCCAACGGAACACTTGGATGACAACTTTTTAACCCTTTCACTCTTTTGGGCAAAAACTATTGAATTATTGAACTACTGGGTTCGATAACGCAACGAGAAACCATTTCTCTACAGCATTGAACTCTTAGCGTGACACTCATTTCATCTTTCAGAGCTTTCCTCTTCATAACGAAACATCAAACAACAAGTGATTCGCTAGGACATGAAAAGTTTCCTATGTGTAATAAGTCTCAGCAACCCCAGTCTTTAAACTAACCTACAAAACCTCTACTTATTAGAATGAAATTGGTTCAAATTCGAATAAACACTCAAGTATTCGAATTTTTCGAATATTCGAGCACTTCAACGTCAATGTAATATATCAGCTGCGCAGAAACAGGAGTAAGTAAATGAGATTTATAGGTGTTAGAGTGCTGATCAAAAGAAAACGGAGCTATGCTGACAAAACAAAGATTTAGGTCTACCGTAGTAGCAATGGGATTACTGTAATAGTTTCATAAAGGACTGCACCTTACAAAAGTAATCATCGAGCTGTAACTTTTCGCTTTGCTAATGATAAAGACAATGAAAAAAAAGGATAGACAGGAGAAAGAGAGGAAGGAACTTGACAGACATTGTTTAGTTCAAGAAGATCGTTTTGACGATGTTGATAAAATAAGTGTTTCGATTAAAAAAAAAGTTAGACGAGAACTAAGCAAGAAACGAAATCAAACCAAACCAAAACTAAACTTTACTTCCATCAGAAACTTTGAACTGATGACTTAATGGTCAACTACATGCGACTATAGTCAGCTGTTCTAAACTTCCTCGTTGGAAGTCACGAAAAAGCGGCTCTGAAGAAGGCGATACTGCCGAAACGTCAGCTAGCGTTGTATTGTATTGTGTTTTTTATGGAAGTAAATGTATGCTGTTTAAAAACCTCGCGATTGCTGAACAAGAAAACGACACATTCATATTCCAATGCCGAGGTTAAGAGAAAGTCGACCCTGGGAACTATTACATGATGACTTAATGTTTGCATTGGTGAAACAGTCTCATTAGTAGTTTTCTCATCGATCGTCGTTTTGCAACAATGAGTCCTGCTTAAGACAAAACAGACAAGTGAAGATAACAGTTAAAGAGAAGTCAAAATAGAACGTATGAGAGATAAGAGGAAACCCCGGAGAGTAAAAAAAAATGAACAACACGAGGAAATAACAAGAAGACAAGAAGGAATATACGAAGAAAAATGTCTAGGATAACAGGGAAAAGTGATTTGTGATGATTTTTCATGTAAACGAAGTTTTTAGATCTTTGTTTCACAGATCCCCGTAGGATCAGTTGAATTTGAAAATTATTTGGAGTGAATGAATAGCATGTGACAATGAAAAATCGCTATGTGATGACAGCGATGTGAAAACAAATCAGCTACAAACAACAATTCGCTCTTAAACAAACATAAATACCAAAATCAAACAATCAACGGCTCCCATGGGGGACTGAAATGGGCAAATTTGAACGAAAAAGGTGAAAGATTACCAATACCCGTACAAGGAAATTCTCGCGTAGATCGAAAGAAGCATTTGACCACTAATCGATAATTCGAATGGTTGTGAATCCTCCTACATAGCGTCCGAATATCAGGAAAGAAAAAAAGATATTCTGATGTATCAATAAAATAAATACATATATATATATTCTCTAAAGACGATGAGAACTATTAAAGCGATAACAAACGATGAGGAAAATGTAAGGTTGTCCTCACTTCTGAGAAGTCTCTGAGGAAAGCAAAACACTTCTGCGGATTTATTATGAATGGTTTGGTCTACTGAGAAGAAAACTGGGATTTGTATTGACCCACCTACTAATAAACTCTATACACATAACGTTCCACATGATTATTACATAACTTTTAATAATAATTCACCGTGGGTGACAATTTTAGATTTAGTAAGTGGCTTAGCGAATTTGAAACAGTGATTTTAAGCGAATACCTTGAACAGTCGTCACACCAAAGTTTTATAATAATAGAAATATCGATTCACAGTAGATCAAGCAGAAGCAAAAATGAAGAACATCACTCGAGTCGGAAAGAGATCGCAGGAATTGAAAACAAGACAGAGAAGACATTTCTTGACAGTGAATGTCATTCGTTCCTATTCCTCTCTTTTCCTCTATCAACGATACTGTAGATCATCACTCACCTGAGTAAGAATGAAAAGATGTACACCAAGTAGATGAACACCAATATGCAGTACAAGATGAATGTGTGAGGTATCACCATAAGCGATACGATTTCTGGATAACGTCTCGAATAGACAGGAATAGACAATACCGATCAGAGTACACAAATATAACGGTAGCGGTATTACGGTGTAGATCAACAACACCACCTAAATTAATCGATTAGCAGATCAGCGACACCAACTAAATGAATTGATTGGCAGGTCAATAATGTGCCACCTAAATGACCTGGATTTGGAAATCCAATTCCAAAAGACAGGAAGAAGTCATGTAAAGAGTTGTTCTGCTCCGATTTGCATTTCTACTACATAAATGTGGTTGTTTTCCTACTAAATAAATGCATTCAGATGCATCGGAACAACCGTGAAGGCTATACGACTCATCGAGCTTCGAACTATCGGAGTGAAATTGTAAACCTTGGAAGTTAACGGAGAAGTCCTACTTTATAATTTGATAAGAAGGTGAACGTTTGATTTTTTTCTAGATCTATTAATCATACCGTTTAAACTTATACAGAGAGTTCATAACGGAGGAAAAAGTTTCTCAAAGTGTGCAAAGTCAAAAACTTTCTCTCACCTTCGATAGTTTACCAAATTACAGGATCTTTTCCATCGAAAGACGTACTATACTTGTTTCATGGCCAATAACCGGCCAACAGACCAAGTTTGCTTTATAGTCCAGTTAAGGTATAAGCTTCTATTTTAAAGCATTACAAAAATCTTCAGCTAGCTTTGAAATTGTTTTCGTACCAATGTTGAGAACAGAGTGCAATCTAATTACTTGTTACTCATCGATTTTTCTTGCATCCAACCAACCAAACAACCAACTAACAACACCATGGGAAAATGAACCCTAGACTCTAAGAACGTAAAAGCACTAAGCTATGGAACGAAATCGACTATCGCCTCCCAGTATTAAACATCACTGCTGTTCTCTTCCCTAGAGGAAAAGTAAAGACGTAAATGTCCTGGCTACGCAAACTGGCTTGACTGCGAGAAGATTCTCATCGACTCACAAATTATGCGAACGAAAAAAGAATTTAAATTCAGTGTAGTGACTTTGACTTTCGTTGAATAACGACGGCATCCCAACTATGGATGAAAATGGCTGGAAATTTCGATTTGTGACGAGAAAAAAGAACCGGCTATGAAACGTTCCATTGTTAGTTGGAGAGTTTCTCGATAAACAATGATTAACCAAATATTGGTGATAAAAAAATATCTGCATTGATTTCAAGCATGAAGTGTCTGTGTCGTTTCTGTCTTCCTGTGCATGTCTTCCGCTTGACGTTCCTTCTTTCTCTCTTCCTTTTCTTTTTATTTTCCTTCTTTCTCTAATTGCAACCATCTGTTTCATTCCGTGTAGTTCCGCCGTTTCATGCGAGGCTAGTGAGAGGCTCAGTGCACACCAGAAAATATCCACTAGGAAAAGAAACATATGTGAAGAAATGAAACAAGAATCTCCTACTTCGTTCTTCTATACTTTCTTCTTTTTTTGGTTCACAAGGAACGGAGACCATAACTCAAAGAAGGAAGAGAGTTTTGTATGAGCAATAGAAAGTTAATTTTGGAGAAAAAGAAGAATATGGATATGCACAGGGATTTTTCATGGATACTCATAGAAATCAGTCTTTCTTCTCATGAACTGGCATCTCACTGTGCTTTGAAAAACAAAGTAACAGTTTACTAACTTGAAAACTGGTCGCAAGGCTCGCAACCGGTGTCATGAATGCCGATTTTGAATCTGATGAGAATATAAGTAGAGTAACAAGACAAATAAGAAATGTACAAAGAAATGAGGTTGGCATGTAGAATCGTTGATATTGAGAAGAGCACAATGTGAATGATAACATCGCCAAACACACCAATATGAGACCGGCTGCGGTGAGCTGAAAGTAAAATATGACAACGACTGACCAAATGAAAATCGGCGACAACAAAAACACATTCATTCTACTTTCTGCCACTCTTCTTCACTTCGTTCATGACTTTAGACACTTATTATCTGTTCATGGAAACACAAACGCACATCGAGCAATGTGACGCTCCGTTTTATCAACACAAATAACGTGCAATGATAAATTTTCGACTCAATATGCATCCAATTTCTTCAGATATGCCACATTTTGCGATGCTCATCCATAAAGTAGACGAAAAATTAGTGCCTTTTCAACGCTCCATATTCAATCATATACATCAAAGAAAAAAATTTAGGTCATATTTCCCAAGTTTGAAGTATCATCTCCATTCACTGCTAGCCCAATTCTACATTCCTTCACAAAGAGACGTTCACTGTATAAATGATGCGGATTATTTCCAGTGAATACCTTTGCTCTACCAAAAGTATTCAAAGAGAAAATGAACGCTTTCGAGGGTAAAGCCAAAAAGAGCGCTCAGCTTAGTGATTTATCACGCCCCCCTCCACCTATGCCTTTTCTCTGTGAGCTTAGATGTTCTTTATTCTCTTATTGCAGCAATTCCTCTTGCACTCCGTAATTCTATCAATCATACCCAATGCTGAAAGCTCGCCCTGTCGAAAATTGCCAAATAAATCGTCCATGCCACACAAACGAACGAGATGTATACTAGGCCGGAACGGAAACGATCCCTGGAACGGAAGATTGATCGACAGTTGAAAAAAGAAAGAAATCGAACAACTTAGAAAAAACCCTTTTAAGGAGTATATCTTATTAAGTTTGAATTCCATTCTATAAGAAATGCGCTATGGAAATAAACCTCTCCTACGAGATACTGTAGTTGTGGACCGTAAGAAATACTGTAGTTCTGAACCACTACGAAGATATTCGAATAGACAGAAATTCAATCTCCTATCGGTAATCCAAAGCACACGAATTGAATTCAGTACAAAAGTATAATAAGGATCAACAATGAGATTTCAATGGAGTGCAGTTTTGTAGCAGATTAATCTCTATCATAAAAAAAAAGCAAACCGGCCGAAATTGCGGTTTCCAATTCAAACTTCCCAGTTAACAAGAAAATGTTTACGCATAAGTGGTCACCAACAGCTCAATGACTAGAATTTCAATCCATAAAGTCGTATTGTAAAGGTTCAAATCGTAAAGGAACGACGTGAATGAGAAAACCTGAGCTGTGGAAACGAGCACTTCCAGTATTGTGCTTCTAAGGATGGCGAGCGAAATTGTGGATTCCACCAACGGGTCGAGGCCCGTTCGAACAGCGGTACTCGTCGCGGTGAGGACGAATGGGCCCTTAGCGAGGGACCGCCGGAACCGCCTAGGGCCGGCGTCCGCTCGCCCGGGTCCTCTTCCATCCGACTGCCCGGCCGGCGGTTGCCTGGCTATCCCACCCGTCCGTCCACCCTCCTCCTCCATCTGCGCCAGCGTCTGACCCTCCTGTTAGCGCGTTCTCACTACACGATTCTCGTTCCACGCCTCTCCTAACGAGTCGTACTCTTCGACTAGATGGCATCCGTATCTGCTACCTCCACACTGCAGCACACCATCGGCAGCAGCTCCGATTTCCCTCAAACTTGTGGAAATTACTTTAATAGTAACGTAACAAGATGTTACCTATGCATGGGCAACAATACAAACATGTATTTACTTCGTTAATTTCCGTACACTATCCATTTAACTATTAACTCACCTTCTGGATGTGTCGTCTTGAGTCGATTGAGGGGTGCAGAGGAACATTTGCAACTGCAGAAAAATGCGACAAACAGTTCAAATAGTAAAATCCACAGATGAAATCCCTTTTTTCAAGATATCTCCATATCTACCTACTTTCCTGCTTCTACTACTCGTCATTATTCAAGCATTTCCTCTCAACATACTTGGTGTTTGTCTTTTAACTTCACGCCTCTGTTTATTCTGCTTCTCTAAGTTCTGCATCCAGAAATCGTTCTTCCACACTCCTGTTGTTGTCTGGTCTCTCTATGCTTTTCCACATTTCAAGTTTATTGATGGTCGCTCTCGTATCTCCCGGCTCCTCATTGCAATCTCTTTTGATCCCAGCTCTCTCCCTTGGGGGGAGGGCTGAGTCCAATACTACTGGATTGTCCGAAAATTAATGCCGGTCTCGTCTTTTAAAATCTTGGCTCTGTTTCCAAATAAAGCTTTCATCGTTTGTATTCATATCATGCTTATTTATTTAAATACCAAAACCACCTGTCTTCAGATTTCACACCGTTCCCGACATTTTTTCCATTTGTTCGTTGTCTTGCAACCATAACTGATAGAGGTCGAGGAACTCTGTTGTACTCCCTCTTCACTAACATCCTGGATACCGATCGAGGCGATCTAGGACGTTTTCAGGCAGTCAGCACAGCTAGTTGCTGGCTGGCCTTTGTGGATCGGAGCTAAATCTCACGCACTGCCACTCGGAATCCTCCAGGATCCCAGCGATTCTTGTGACGGCATATTACGAAGTTCAGTGAGACCACTTGAGGACGATGTAACAAGCCGAACTTCTCTCGTATTAAAGACCAACTGAAGCGCAAATTTCGCTCAACACTTTCTATAATGTTTCTATTATTACAATTATTATTGATTCATGTTTGATTTAAGATGTTGGAATAGAAATGGAAGCAAAAGACGCTAATTAAGGCTATGTTTCTGAATGAGTTCCACCTTGGACGAATTACGGAAGTGTCTCGAAATACTAGCATTGTGGCTAGAGACCGGTTAACGAATGTACCACTTAACCGTGGTTTGTAATGGATGTGAGAGATTCGGTGAGCAACATACCGATGGCCACTTAAGGACGATATTGATGACCACTTAAAAATATCATAACTGAAGCAGATACATACCACACATCATTTCATTGATAAGCTAACATGGAGCTGGTGAAAAATTTATTCAGCTAGCGTTTCGACGATTTCGCTTTCTCAAGAGCTGGATTGATCTGAGTCGACGGTCCATTAGCCACTCCATCTTCCGATGAGGATCTTCGTGATCCTACTATGCGTATGTAAAGGAACGATTTCAGAGCACTATCAAATTGGAAGCTCAACGAAGTTTGAAAAATGCATGTTGAATGAATCAAACAAAAAGTAGGGTTTGTCTCGTTATAAGGCCTATTCTGCGCTTCTAATAGAGTCACAAAAGTTAGTTTCCCTCTCAATCGCATTGCAACCCGCGACTTTAACTGGATTTTAGAAAACATTGGACGACGACAACGACAGTTTAATAGGCAGCAATTGGAATGGCCCATGAACCTAGGTAATATTGTTGAAACCACTGCAGAAAGTATTGCCATAAGACCGCTGAAGGATCTGCGACATCTACTACCCACACATCATACAACTATCACTACTAAAGCTGAGAAACTCCATCGGTACGAAACTCTATCGCATCGAGCCTACTCGCTGGGCCTTCCTCTAGCAACCTACCACTCTTCCAGTCATCTCGATCTGTTTTGAAAATTTTCATCACTGACCAAGTTATCACTAATCTGGAGATGACTTTAGATGGATACTGGCTTTAGAAATCTGTAATTTCCCATGATAGAACATACATATTTCTCCCTCACTGGTACTGATTTTGGTGGAACCTGCTTCGAAAGATGCATAACCACCGGCATGGACTGAGCAGAATGCACTCATTAAAAAAATACTGGCCGCCCAGGAATTCGGAACGAAATCTTTCAGATTATATCAAATTTTATTAATTGGAATAGAAACGACTGGAAATACAGCTCTTTGCTTACAAAATACATGTTCTTATTATTAGGTAAAGAGGAAACCGTGATACTCAGGAACTCATGAAACGCATCTACCTTGCCTTTCTTCTTCGAGCCTCATATTTCGAAAACTAGAGAAACTGGATCAATTTGGAGTTCGCCCAGCGGGACATAATGGTGTTCTCAACGCATCGTTAATGTTTGTGGTTTTCATGCTTGTGTCAGAAATCCTGAATGTTTAAACTCCTTTCTACATTTTCGTGAAGTTCAACTCTAAAAAAAACTTCAGGAATGCTAATAATAACTTATGAAATTTAAGTATATCTCCAGGACGATACATTAAAGGCTCTTCTATAAGCCTATCAAGTTCTAAAGTTCCCAACTATTGTATTTGTGAAGAAACTACCATTGGTAGCTGAAAAACCATCTTCAGGAGTTATGTGTAATGAAGTTTTTTTCAATGCACTAAGACATGTGTATTTGAAGTTGAGGGTTAAGATCTATATCAATTTTTGGACAACGTGGCAAAGAATATGTGGGAACAGAAAAGTCTAGAATACTCGTACTACCACTGGAATAACGGATAAAAGGATCAACCGATCGTTTTAGATCAATTACTGAGAGTAGTGCCATGTAGCTCCCTTCATCTACTCTTTCACCAAGAGTGATTGAGTGCATGTTTCACCTGTACAATGACTTTCGAAGGCTTATCAATGTGTCAAACCAGTGTTTCCATCCTCGAAGGCACTTCTGGTACTGCTTGGCCTGTCTTCCTCACAGGAACAGAGGTTTTGGTTTGCCCAGCGCATGGGATCAAACTGAAGACCGCTTGTGTACTGTTGTGCATCTCAAACCACTGCGCTACATAAGCCTTCACGCCATCTTCAATACTTAAATAAATCCTCTTCTAAACTGTAAATGGTCACAGAAGTTAGTTATGAGGTTTGATTCTGGTAACAAATCTCCTATTTTTCGATATCAACATTCAACATCTGACTTTCAAATCCAATGAAGAAAGCTCTTGGAAGAAGTCTGCCATTGGTGTTAAATGTGAATGATCAATACGAAATAAAGGACATCCCGGAAATTATGTTTCTATGCGTTTGTAAAATAGAGCAGTTGTTTATTCAACTTTCGAGAAAAGAAGAAGCATAGAATCCTAGAGCAAATGAGAAGGAAATAAAATTATCTAGACGTTCAATTAGTTTTGTGTCGCAATCCTTTTTCTCTCTTGCACTTTCCCGGTTGTTCTAAAATTACCCTTGTTTACTACATTCTTCATCTCCGGAGGCGCTTCCTACTAATCCATTAGGACCATGTTTGAAATTTCGGTGGTAGACCCTTGAAGAATGACGAATTTATTCTCTATGAGATCGTTGAAAGATAAATGGGTGTGGTTTTGAATAGATCGGAGAAGACATTGTGTATGTTGTCCTGGTGAAGACACTGAGAATGTTATTCTAGTCTAATGATATAATAAGTGCATGTAACGCTCTGGTTAGAGGTATCTTGCAATACACACGTGGTCACTGGTTCGACCCCACGCTTCGGCGAAACCATGCGTTTCATTCGTTTGGAGCTGCTAAATTAATAGCATTAGTATACTGGGTGGATATAAAACGCTGACTTCATACATCGATAGGACATTGGAGGTCATTGTATTAGCAGTATTTATTCCTTCCCAACGGTTTACCGCCTCATTGTAGCTAGGAGGTGTTACTGCGCGTCGGTCTGCCATGTACAGCGGGAGGTTCGTCCTCCAGAAGTCGGAAGAAGCACTTCCGGAACTGAGGAGTCCAATGTTTCCAACCGGAAACCCAGCTAAGAACAAACTAATATCAGGAAATGTCACCGTCCTCGTATCAAACTAGTCGCATGATGGCCAACCTCCCTCTGATTCACAAGGGCGGTGACTCCTAGGATGGTGACTACTGAGGAAGGCTTCTACTAGGCTGACTTCGGGACTCCAGGGAATCACAATGGCTAAACTAGCAAACGTAAATTATGCGGGGGCACACACAAGCAGTGAAGACGAGACATCCCATCATAAGTAAGTCGCGATTCAATTATCTCTCCGTTGCTTAATGGAGTCGAATGCGTGGTAAAATCTTATGGGATTGATAGCCGTGGAACATTTAACCCTTATAATTGGTATAATTGGTGACGTCTCGGCGAGTGTTTCCGATGCTCATCCCAGCTGTGGACAATCCACTCGGATCAATGCAGCTCTGAAGAAGACGAAGGCGTTAAAACTTCAGAGGAATAAAAATTATTCATATCAGCCTCGTGTAAGCTGAACCATTCATGAAATCTCATTAGCGTCTGGATCTCTCCCACGACTATAACTCTTCTCTTTTTGGTATTACTTAATTCTTAACCTCGCAGAGGCGACTCTGTTTCGAGTTAATATTGACAGCGACACGTGCAAAGCTAAACTGACGAAGAGCGTTCTCATAGACACGCGTTTCTCGATCATTTTCGAGCTAATAGCTTTCACAGTAGCGAGCTGTTAATCAGCGTATCAACAGCTCTTTCACATGCCTTCAGTGACTACGTAGAACTGTACATTTTCGCTATTGTAGCAATATTGGAAATCACGACTTTAAAGAAAAGGATAAAGCTCACAGCGTTGATCAATCCTTGACGGATTCGCCATGAACTCCACTCCATTCATAGCATCGTAGAAGTGATTGGATGCATATCTGCCCTATACAACGACTCGCAGTGGTCTACCGATGAGTCGAACCGATGCTGCTATCCTCCTAGATAGGTCTGGTAACAATTCGCTGAACCCGAAGGGATGGAAGGCTTGGCGAGCCTGGGACGTGTGGATCGACCCCATGTGCGTTGCAGGGCGCCACCGGCCACTGCACTACACGCGTCCCTAACGATATTAGATCTTACGCAACTTCAAAAACTGAGAACAGCTAGTTTCATACTGTGAAAGATCCTCGGGTGGAGTGAAAGAAAAAAGTGATTTTGATGCAGCACTGACAGGTTGTTTCTCCGCGACTGGCAAACTCTAAGCCCCGGATTTCTCCTGGAGAAACGGTGAACGTAATCATAGGCAACATAGCTAACACAATAACAGAAAAAACATATGAACAAAGGAACAAAACTAAACTTAAATGCTTCACGTGATTGTTGGGAAGAAAGCGGTTCCAACGATGAAAACTAGATCTGCATTCGAGAAATATCTTCATATAAGCTATCCCATTTAACCATCTACGGCAAATCCTCACGTTCTCATAACATAGCAGACATCTCCGGAATATTCTCTCACAGCTTCAATCTACGATCATTCAACAACGGTGAGATATTTGCAAAACTCAAACCGCAGTTCGGATTCGAACCAGAGACTACCTCTTCTGAGGAAAGAGCAAGGGCAATATATCTCCATTTCTCCCAGAAAAGGTAGCCGTGGATTCGACCCTGACATGTGGTCTCAGTTTTTCAAATATCTCAGCATCATTGTGGTTCCATTTCACGTAATACTTGGTCCTAAAAAAATAAGAAGTAAATAAAAAGTTGTACAAGGCCCTACTTATCTTTGGAAACATCATATTTCACGGTATGTCCGCAATAATGCGTCAATTTCTCATGTGGTCAGAGCGTTGTGAAGCCTTCATACTTGCGGGTGGGTCTGTAGTTTCTTCCCCCTTTTCTTTAAGGTTAGTGAGTACAGTTTTTTCGATATCGAGTTTTCTTTGTCTGGCTACTTTTTTTCGAAATGAATCTCGCTTATTTTCTTGTGTTATGTCTCTTAATACTTTTAACGTTCCAAGACCTTGCGCTCTAGTAAGTTTGTCATGTCCTGCTTTCTTTTCCTCTTGTTTTCATTCTTCGCTTAGTCTTTTAGTATATGATGTTGGGAACGCTGTTTTTCTTTCCATATTATTACCATTTGCAGGCAGAGTTTATGGACTTTATTGAGCGTCAGGCAGAGGAATCGGACGGTGAAGAAACGTCGTCCACCTCATCCACAGAGTTAGATCAACCAAAAGCAAAGAAGAGAAAGCTTCAGAAGGAAAAGAAGAAGAGCAAGCGGGTCGTCGAAAGCGAGTATGTTTCTGAAATACCACAGATTGCATGTTTAAGTCTGAATAAGTGCGGTGTAGTTTGCATTACTTACTTGGATACTTGGACGGCTCGTTCTCACTTGGTTTTGCGTGCCTCAGCATAATTTCTATTTTTTGGAGTTTTGCTGGTTTAGCCATTGTGCTTCCGTAGAGTCGCGAGGTGAGCCTGGCCAAAGTCTGTCCGAGGTCGTCACCACTATAGGCAGTCTCCGCCCTTGTGGATCAGAACGAGAATTGCCACCATGCGACTAGTTGGATACTATGACGATGGCAGATCCTGGAATTGGTTTACTCTTCTTTGTCAGGCAGGGAGGCCCTGCCGGTGAGTGAATCGGTTGTACATCGCAGCCTGAAACCCAGGAAGACCTCCTAGCCACGATGAGGCGGTAAACTCTTAGGAGGGTAGTTTGCTTGGTGTGTTGTTCGTAGCTATGATGAGGAGGTAAACCGTTGGGAGGGTATTTTGGTTAGTTGGTAGTAGTTTGAATTTGCCTTAGTAGACAAACTTTTGAAGTTTGCAGTATCACTCTGTAGTTATGTTACCTTTCTTTAGAGTTATCACGGAAGTTTTATCGATCACATAGTCAAATCAAATCATATTCTAGTGATGAAGAGGACGAAGAAGATGATGATGAGGAAGGTGCGGAAGAGATGAAGGGTTTTATTGCCGATGAGGAGGAAGAAGTAATGAGTTGTTTTAAACGTGATCATCTTCTGATCCTTTTTTTCTCTACTGTCTTTGCCATTACTGTGTTATTTTCTTACATTTCACACCAAATTGCGCCATTCATTTAGGAGGTTGACGATGACAAGTCTGAAAAATCTGAAAAACTGGAGGATGAAGAGGACGAACTAGACGATGACGATATAGATTTGATCCAGGTTAGGCTGATTGTGCATCTTGGAGAACTTTACATATTAACGACTGGCAGAGCAACCAACTATTGCAGGAGAATCTTGGAAACAGGAAAGAGAAAAAACAGCGTATAATTCAACCTGATGACTCTGATGAGGATGTTGATGACCGCACAGCTATCCAAAAGAAGCTATTTGGCGAAGTTCGGTTCAATTCTTTACGAGGAGCCATTACTTAATAGAAGTGTTTTCAAGATATTGGGGGCCAATGTTTGTGGTTTTTCGGCCGTACATTAACACTCATGGTGGTTAATTTCATACTTAGTATTTATGAGCCTTCCACTTCTCATAATAGGGTGATGACAGTGAAGGGCCTTCAAGTTACCGTGGTGATCACAGTGGTGCTGAGTCAGATAGAGATCGTTATTCAGATTCGGAGCAAAGTGGTTAGTGAATTTCGATGCGCCATTGTATTGATTGATTGTTTACAGTAGTAACGTTATTGCCTTAATATTTAAGGCTTTTTTTTTTACAAGTTCTTAACGTTTTAAATCTCAAGGGCTCTCTAATATTCGATTGTTTGATAGTTCAAATTTCTTGTTTTAAGAAGACAACTTCATTGTAAATGAAGATGGAGGCAGACATCCACATCGACATCATAGGAGGAGGGATGGAAACATGCCGGACGGGTAGGTCCCTTGAAGTTATTTTATGTACTCTTCGCAAGTCTGTAGTCTTTTTTTACTTTCTAGACTTCGGAAATGTTTTACCACTCCTAGTGCGGAAGCATACATTGGCACAGTAAAATTGTTGATTTTCGCTCTACACGCTTTTAGCTAGTCTTTATTTAATCACATTGATTATCATAGTCATGCTATTCGAGACTTAATCATTCTTACAGTGCTCTCGATGAAGCAAGAGACGTGTTTGGTGTCGAAGATTTCAATTTTGACGAATTTTATGACGAGGATGAAGAACCTGTTGACGATGACGACGAGGATCAAGAGGATATAATGGACGAAGAAACAGAAGGCGAAGCGAGAGTAAGTTTTAATTCTACGGGATATATATTCTAGGCCTTGACTACAGCTTTCAACAGAGATTTGTATAGGTGCATGATATCTGTAGGTGCGACGTGTACGAACAAAAGAAAAAAGCAGTACTCTTCTTGATGCTATGGAACCCTCCGAACTAGAACGAGGATTCATGGCTCCTATGGACAAAAAAATACAACTAGAAGATAAGCCGGAAAGGTATATTTAGGTTTTGATCTTTCTTTTTCAATTTTGGAGCATTTTCAAATCTGCTGTATAGGTTCCAACTTCGGAAGACTCCTGTAACCGAAGCTGATGAGCTTGAGTTGGAGCTTGAATCTAAATGGATATATTATCACGCTTTCTCTCACACTTCTGTTTCAAATCAGGTGCAGTTTGAGTTCCATTAGCACAAGGTACAGTTCGAGTTTCGTTAACAATTCACGACCGTAGTAGTCGATGATAGTGGTAAAGTATTTAGCGTTAAACAATCCCTGAGAGGAGCGATATCCATGCGACCTCATCAAGCATCGTGGAGTTGATTAATCGTGTATCAGGCCCATATAGTAGTTTGATAGGCGAGCAATGTGTTAACTCTGTGTTTTATTCTTTAATATAACTCTGGTGTCAACCTATAGACCACAGAGAAATGGTAGTCCTTTGCACAGGATAGAACCAATAACCAATTCAGTGTATATCGCGGGACATCTCTAGCCTGTATATCGCAGGACATCTCTAGCCACTCTGTTGCATATGCCCTTGATTCTCGTTAACAGCTGATAAAAAATATATGATGAGTAGAAAACTTTACTCCACCCTGTCGTTGTGAGGAAGTGAACAGTTTTTTGGGAAGTTTTTGTATAATTTTCATGAAATATGTTTGTTGGTGTTGATGAGTTTTTCATGTTTAAAGTTGCGTAAAATGAGAACGAAATTTGAACCAGTAAAATAGTCGAAATACAGCTTTATTTGATGTTCCAAATGCGAGCGTCAACAGCAAATATGTTGTGTATCGCAAAAAATTAGAACTTCTTCTTGAATCACGCGTCTGATTGGCGAAGTTCTGCAAATTCTATGTTTTTGTTCCCATTTGTGAAGTTAACTGAGTTGAGAAATATTGGTTTAAAATTGGAAACAGCTATTGTTTAGCACATCGTGTGTAGCTTGTGCGGTTGCTAATGCAATGGAAAACAGTAAACTGAGTAAAAATTCAGTTTTCTGTTTTTCTTTTGTTCTGTTTCAATTCAGCTTTATTTTGTGCCTTACTATGAAGAATAGTCGATATTCAGCTGAATATCAGTTTCGATTGGTTAATAAACTTTTTGTTCAACATACTGTGTACAGTATGTAGGCTGTGCAAACGATTTGTGGTATGACGAATATCGAATGTTTTAAATTTATATTTTTTTTCATTTTAGAAGTCAACTCTTCTACATTACGTGAGTGACTTTCGAGGGCATGATCGATCTCAGTGTGTAGATGAAGCACAGGAAACTATTAAGGAAGCTTTGAACTTTATGCGCAATCAGTTGTTTGAGGTAAGCATTCGCTTTTTTTTCGGGTTAGGCACACAAGATCTTGTTATTATATGCTATTTCTTCATAATTACTGACTTTTCGGCGGGTTGTGCTTTAACCAGGGCCTGAAAAATCCGAATTAACTGTGACCCACTGAGCAAAGCACCTCCGTAACCTCAATAGATTGAATAAAAACCACGATACCTTACTTTTATTCGCATTAGATGTGAAAAAGCTTTGAGTACTAACTGTTTTCTATGAATTTCCCATTGAGTACTTCACCTGGTGGCTAATCGCACAAAATTCACATGGAAGCTTAGTGTGTCTCTCTCATTAAAATATCGGTCTTAGATAATATATGAGACCACGCGTGATTGCGATTCATCCATCTTTGCAGTTTGTTTTTGGATTCATGCAATCTGTCCGGAATAATCCGAGAATTTTATGCCCTGAAGTTTTCAACTCTTGTGCTTGTATGGTAGCTTCTATACCGAAATCTTCTTCGCTACCTTCCTGTGTCCTATGCGGGCCTAGTGGAGTAGTTGGTTGAACTTTAAGTTTACCAGCTTCGTGTTCTTTCGTGCGAGCGCAAAGTGGTCTCCTGTTTCGCGAACATATTCGTCTCCACACGCTTTGCAATAGATTGGGTTCACCATACCCAAATCGTTCATTCACTGTCTCTACCGTTAGGGCCAATTGTGCAGTTATGTATTACGTTTGAGGTAATCATTTTAAAGCATTATTGTATATATTTTCGCTGATCCATATTAGTTCTCTATCATATCATCATTTAGCCGGGGTTTTAGGTCCCATTTATCGCGTTTTACCGCAAGGAATTAGTGAGCAGTGTTTTGTCGATCAACGATCTGTGGAAAGTGTATGAATGGGATGAGAAATGGTGTCACTTACAAAACAGAAAGAAGAAGGTAGCTGACTTTATTGGCGTTGTTTTGTTATTTCTGCCTTTTGGTTTGGAAAACAATTGTTTTAGCTTGTCGAGTTAATGAAGCGTATGCAGTATTACCAAACCGAATCACTGCAGAATTATCGGCGTATGATCTCAGATCTTGACATAATCGAGTAAATATGTTATTATTTAATAACTTGGCCTAGTGTTACTGTTGAAGATTTCTCTTAATCTTCAGCTTAGATGTGTCTCTTTTTCTCATAGGGTTCAAAGCGCCAACTCTGTTGAGGCAATTGGGGATTTGTCAGCTCAGTTTCATCTCTATTATGGCTCAGAAGTGAATCGAATGCTGGATTGGGAAGCAGCACAGAAGGTGGGTAAGATTAGTTATTGGTTAATAGTTTTAGTTTAGTAATAATAAATAGTTTTTAATTTTATTACAAATATTTCAGGTTATATTTATTTATGTGATCTTATAAACTGATCTTCTTAAGCTGACGCGAGGTTGGTACAGATCGGTCAATAACGTCAAAAACAACGACAACGAAGATTTGTACCAACCTCGCGTCAGCTTAAGAAGATCAGTTTATAAGATCACATAAATAAATATATCAACTATCTATGCCGAGGTTCATAGAAAGTCGGTCTTTCGAGTTATTTCAGGATATTGATGAGGGAGGTGATGGAACCAATGTTCATGGGACCAGATTCCGACAAAGCAGTCGTAACGATCAATATCAAGTGAGGATTTCGTTCATAACTTGTTGCTTCTTATTTTGTTACTCTTTTATTTATCATCTTTTTTGATTTTGCAAATTTTAAAGACCTATTATTCTTTACCTTTTGAACGTTTAATGTCTTCGAGCATTTCTCGTGTGGCTTCGGCTGCTGCTTGAGGATTTCGTTTTCTTTATGGATGTCGTAGAATGCTGGTCACATCAGTTTTCCTTGCAATATTGAAGACGGCCGTTAGCTTTGCTAGGGCATTCTCACGAGGATTGGAGAAAAGCGTTAGGTTTGGGAGAGGGTCGACTCAGCTTCTTGCTTCCTGAGGAACTACAATTCCAACTACTAGCGCTCATCCAAACTTTACTTACTTACTTGATACTTGAACGGCCCGTCCTCACTAGTTGTACGGGCTCCAGCATAAACACCATTTTTCAGAGATTTTCTAGTTAAGCCATTGTGGTTTCCTGGAATTCCGAGGACACATAGCCAAAGTCTGCCTTAGGCCGTCACTACGACAGGCAGTCGCAGCCCTTGTGGATCAGAGGGAGATTTGCCATCATGCGACTTTGATAGCAAGACGGTGGTGGATCCTGGTATTGGTTTACTCTTGGCTAGGCTTCCTAATGGAAACGCCGGGCTCCTCAGGTTGGGGGACCCTACCGGGAGGGCGAATCTCACGCTGTACATCGCGGTCCGACACCCTGGAACACCTCCCAACCACGATTACGCAGTAAACCGTTGGGAGGCATCCGAACTTTATGCATATCAGATGTATTACCCTTCGTCTCGTTAATCGTCTAGTGATTCCAGCAGGCGACAGTAAATCTTCCATTTCTCGCGGGCGCGTGCAGCAGTAGCTCAACGGGTTCTGCTCACTTTAAGAAGTCGTTGAGCATCGCATATTTCTTTTGGTGTCATGAAGAACTCTGGCCGTCAGGTCTATAGTCTTCACGCAGTACGTTTGACATCGCGACGAATTCATCCATTGACGGCTCCTGTCCATCAGTTGTCATTCATAAGTATTACTTGTGCAGCATACCTTATTTGCGACGGATTGGTGAATAGAACGCCATCTTTGATTTTTGATCGTTGGTATAGGTCAGAGCTTCGGAAACTCTTCCTTCACCTGTGTGACACGGGATGTTCCTAACGTCATGCTTTCTACTGCGCGTTCAAAAACGCTGAGTAATCATCTGTCGTGCCGAAAAGTTGGGCACGAAATCGGGTGTTCTTTATTATCTTCACTACATCCTCGATGCTAGAATTTTGGGACAACAGCGACGTCGGTTAGGCAAAACTTTCGGCTTACTATGACGTGGTGCATTTCGTTATGGTACTCTCCACTGGGAGACTCCCACGTCCATCATGATAAACTGGGACAGCTGCTCACCTTGTTAGTTCCATTCTAATCTGTGGGTCCCAATGTGACGTTCTTCAGACGTTTTTGATGGTCTTCTGTGTAGAGCTTCTCCAAGTCCATATAGAACGCTTCGATTTCTTCGTCATAGCTTGATGTCGGTGCGTAGACGACAGTTGTCATAGCCGATATTGATCCACACCTTTTCAGTCGTGGGCGTCCGATTCGAGTTGTTAGTTGTTAAATGAATCGATGGTCATTGCCAAACTCGTGTTGTTGAGAATTCCAACATTGCCGACTCTTCTAGTCTCGCATATTCCGGCGAACAATTATTCTGCGCTGTCAGAGAGGATGTTGAACCAGTGGTGTCTTATCGTCTGAGACATCCCGATGACGTCGTACCTTATCCTTTCTGTCTGAATGGTTAAGTCCTTCATCGAAAGCTCACATGTAAGTGAGCTTGCATTGTAGGTGTAGATCCTCATCAGAGTCCGAGATTTAGACAGCTCGGAGTTGCTCTGAGATATTAGCAGCCTCGCCATAGTCGCCATACCCAATGTTATAGTATCGGGTGATCTTTCGGGATCATGGGAATGATTCTCGTTTTATTTTACTGTGAGTCTACACAAAACAAGGAGTCGTTCCCATGGATCCACTAGTCTCAGGGAAACATAAAGTCGCTTTTGGCCTGTGGGTAACCTGCTATCTGCCATCCGGGAACAAGCCACGTTGCTTCGCAACTGAACGGCATGAGACCCCTCAGTGAGGGAGGTGCATTGCTTCTACATATATAACAGGAAAATCGATGGTTTCGAAAAGTTAGCACACATCCTTGTGCAAGTCTATCGCGTAGTTAAGGTAGTATCAGTTGATTAAATCTTCCACTTCGTGGTTAAATACAAGTTGCTATTGAAAGTATTTGCACACGAAGTACATTTCTTACATATTGTTCAGAATCAGCGTTTTTAATACAAATGTTGATTTCTGTTCATATGCAGTTATGCGTTGATAACGGAGTAGGAGAAATGGTTACCAGGTTCGGAATTACGGCTCGACAGCTCGCCGAGAATTTAGATTGGAAGAAACATGAAATAGAACAAGATCCGGTTAGTAGATTCTTCCTACATTTATTATTTGGAATTTTGTTTTTCAAAGTACCTCAAAGGGGCATCTTGAAAATACAGTTGTAAGAATGTTATTATTAATATGTATTTTATTGTTATTAGGTGGCACCCAAAGTAGCTGCTGCGGATTACACTAGCTCTGCTTTTCCTACACCGGAGGCTGTTATTGCTGGCGCAATTTATATGATGGCACGAGAGCTGAGTCGAGAACCAGCTGTATGGAATATCTTTCTCACTACTCTGATTTTTATCACTTCTTACATGGAACCCAAATTGTTTCATTCTTTAGGCACGTGAGCGCATTCGGCAGGTTTACCGTGAAAATGCGAAACTGTACATACGTCCCACTCAAAAAGGCCGGGAGCATTTGGATGAGACCAATCCAGTGTGGAAAATGAGGTTTTTTTTATTTTAGTGTGGTAGACCACATATTTATTTGCGTCCGGGTTTTGCATGTTGATTGAAGTGTGTACATCTGCACTTTTATGTACTATCGACTTCTTTTTTGTTTTTTTTTATCTCCTCATTTCAGATATGTGAAGGGTAAACCGGTCACAAAACTAGAGGAGGAAGAATATTTGTATTACTACCAGGCTAAAGTTGCTGAACATCTTGATATCAGATTTGCATTTGAAAAAGAGCTGGATGATTCTGTTGTTCTGACCTGCTTATCTGATGCATTGCTTACCGAAGGACCGTACAGAGTGGTCGGTTATTTGTCATGTTAGGTTATTACTTGGTAACATTACGCTTGTTTTTTCTTTTGAAGGGATTTTTGCTTTTTCAAGAAATGGCGATTTCACGTTACAGTTTTGCCATAAATTTTTTATGTGTTTTTGAAAAATCTTCCCTTCCAACATGTTTGTGGCAATGCGCTTTGATTTCACTGCTTACCTTCTCGGAAACAGTTTTGTTTCCGACAAGTTAAGCAGTGAAATCATATTTTTTCATTTTTTCTTGTTTTTCAACTTTTTAACTGGAAGTTTTCTTCCTTTAAAATACTCAGCGCATGGTGAACTTTCAAATTGAATCAAAAGCATTTAGACTACATAGATTTTTGTTGACAGCATGAAATTTTTCTTATTATACCGTGTTGAAATCCCGAATTGAACCCGCAAGTTCTTCTCCTTTCTTCGCTAGCTCTCGTGTCTTGTGCTGCCCAGTGACCACAGAAACGGGATGTATTCCAACAGAATGCAGTATAGAATTCATTACTGACGCTTTTATTTGTCGCGTTTATCTTCAGATCTAACTCTAACGTTGCTTTTTCTTTCTCATTACTTTGAAAATGTGTGTACTAAGCGGATTAGAATAATGTTTTTACGTAAATATGTATATATACCTTTAATTACAAAGCAAAGGTTTTTTCAATCTCTCAAGTCTTCAACTCTGAGTTTTTTAGTTGCTATAAAATTACCAGCAATTATCAAACCGCCTGTTGTGTTCTCAATTCTAAGCCATATTTTTATCCTTATACCTGAAATTGTTGGAGACGCCACTGTGTCCATCACACTGTGACACACGAGTCCATTCCCGCGCCCATGGCCCACCAAACGTTTCATTCCTCCGGGGCCGGCAAATTGGTACCATACTTATCTGGGAGGATAGCAGCACTGACTCGATACATCGGCAGGCCACCGCGAGTCATTGTAGAGGCCAGATATGCATTCAACCACCTCCAACGATACTGAATGAAGTCGAATGCATAATGCATCCCGAAAGGATTGATCAACGCCGAGAGCTTTATCCTCTATCCTTTTATACCTGAGATTCTCTGGTGGTTTAGTTGTATTATGGTATTTTCCATTTTTCAGTCTATGTTATTTTTTCTTCAGGATGAATACTCAGAGGTTGTTGAGGAGTGGAATTCGATACGTGAGAAAGCAACCAAAATGGCCATCGATGAGATGCTTCTTCCGTTCCTCGAAAAAGAGTTAGAGCAAAAGTTATTAGATGAGGCTAAAGGAAATGTGATTCTAGTAAGTTGAGAAGGAGCTTGATATTTTTAAAGACGCAAGTCTTTTTTCTTTTTTTTTTGTCTAAGCGAAGTCTATATTTTGTGTAGAAATGTGGAAAAGCGATGTATGCACGATTAGAGGCGGCTGCTTTTCATCCATCAGAAGAACAACTCGAAGACGAAGATGATGACGTCACACGCCAGGTTTTCGTTTTATAATATGAAAACGTTTCCTTAGCAGTTGCAACATACAAACCTTGCAGCGGTACCTGCACGTCATCTTTAATTTTTTTGATATTTCATTGCATTATCTATAACTAGGTTAATCACCGACTAACTTGATCGGGAGTGAGCAAAATCTCCATTAATGCTTGTCGCATGAATTGCCCAGTGGACCTTCTCGCTCAACAAACACGAATAGTCTCAAAGTTTTGGTACAAGCTTCTTTTCCAAAGTTTTTGTCAGTATAAGTCCATGAGTCTCCAATAAGAGTAAACGATGAGGCCTGAACCACTAGGAGGGGTGTTGATATTGCATAGGCATAGTATTATGGTTCAACACTTTGTTGTTTTTATATTTTTAGTCTTTTCTATGTTTCAACTACAAAATTTTTGTTCTCCTGTGTTATCATTGTGATTTTGGGTTTTCATGTAGCTTATTGACACCCTGGCGTTCAAGACTTGGCGTTGTTGCGAGTGGTTTCCAAGTATATTTTTACATATTGAACGAAATTCTGCAATTCCTGTTTCATGCAGTAAACTTGTTTTTTTTTTGAGATCACTATTGTTAAGGCTATTAATATTCACTGAGGTATATATATGTTCATGCGAACTACCCTTGTTTAGCTGTTGCGAGGATGGTACAGATGTTCTTATTGTTGTTGCTGTTGTTGTTATTCGATGACTAGCGTTTCGGTGACTTCGTCTTCCTCAGGACTGTGCTGTTAGACCAGCCGTGTGTTGTTCACGAGGGACGATGAGGAACAGCAACAATAAAAACATCTCTACCAACCTCGCGACAGCTAAACAAGGGTAGTTCGTAAGAACATGTATATAGATATATCGATTATTATGCCAAAGTTTATAGAAAGTCGACCACAGTAATGCTGAAATATTTGCAAAATCCCGATGGCAGATGTCTGTAGTGGGAGTCGAATACGCTATTACCCTTTCCAGAGGTTGACGCGTTTAGCACCACACTATGCGCGTCCTTCGTTTCGCCTTTCTATCAGCTAGTTTTCTGTCTACCAACATTCACCCGTCAGCGAGATTGATCTGGGAACCCAAATTGTCATTGAATCAGTAAAGCTGAGGCTGCAGCATAAAATGTCGATCTTTTGAGTTATTGATTAATGTGTTTACAAACTTAAACCCTGGGAAATGTGTGTTATCGTATTTAGTTCTTCATTTATGTGGTTTCAGGGAGAAGTACGTGTGATGGCAATTGCTTATTCCGCAGATTTTAACGAGGCATCATTTGGAGCTCTGGTAGATCAAGATGGTGATGTCATCGACTATTGTCGGATGGTGCACTTTACAAAACGATCCGGAGGATTTGGACCTCAACAGGAACTTAAAGTGAGTTTTAGTTTTAACCAGCGCACAAATAACTTTTTTCCATATATTGCATAAAAAGAAGGATCAATTCAACTAAATCTATTTTTAGAGAGAATCAATGAATTTCTTCAAAACATTTGTGGAACGTCGACGTCCACATGTGATTGGGTTATGTGGAGAAAATCTTGATAGCATCCGACTTCGACGCGATATTGAAGAGTGCTTGAGTAGGATGGTGTCTGAAGGCGAAATTCCGCGTGCACCACCAGTTTATATTGTGGACAACGAGGCTGCGAAAGTATACATGTTGTCAAAAGGGGCCACTGTGAGTGCTAGGGGGTTATTATTGACTTATCTTTTTAAAACGTTAGCAATCGTAAAGGGGTGGCTACTGATGAAACGCTTGTACATACAATTTAGGCACGACGAAATAATATAAGAACTTAATAGCAGGAAAAATATAGATAGGTGTCATCGTTTTCATTCATCATTAGAGCGATTTGATGTTCATATGATGGATCTTCCGTAGTCGTGTTGTCAAAATGATTTCATTAACATTCGTTTCATTTCAGACAGAACATTCTGGATATCCGCCCACCTTATTGCAAGCCGTTTCTTTGGCTCGCCTTCTACTTGATCCATTGTGGGAATACGCCCATTTATGGAATGCCGATGAAGATATATTTTGTTTGGCTTTCCATCCCCTGCAAAATGAAGTCAATAAAGTGAGTGGTGTTATATATGCTTTTACGAGGAATTATTACATTAATATTGCAGGAAGAGCTTGGCAATGTGTTAGCTCGTGAAATTATCAACCGTGTTAATGAGGTTGGGGTTGATGTGAATAGGTAGGTTTTTTAATCTCTGTAGATTCTGATGAAATTTTAAGAATAATTCGTTTCATATTCTCTTAATTTCTAGATGCTTGGAATATCCACATACTGCCAATGTTCTGCAGTTTGTTTGTGGTCTTGGACCTCGGAAGGCTACTCATTTACTAAAAATGTTGAAACAACACGATCATTTACTGGAAAGTCGGACAAAACTGGTAACACTTTGTCGTATGGGACCGAAAGTCTTCATGAACTGCGCAGGATTTATCAAGATAGATACTACACGGGTAACTGAGATTGTATTTGTTGCTTTTAATCGTTCGAAGTGCTTATTCTACGTTTATTTTGAGGTTGCTGAAAAAACGGATGCATACGTTGAAGTGTTAGATGGTTCCCGTGTACATCCGGAGACATACGAGTGGGCAAGGAAAATGGCTGTTGATGCTTTAGAGGTTGTATCACTTCACTTTCGTATGAGTATGCGTTCTCCACTTTTTATTTATAAGTTGTTAGTTCAAAGCATTTGGCCTCTTGTTTTTAGGTGGATGACTCGGCGGATCCTACAACTGCTTTAGAAGAAATTCTACAAGCTCCTGATCGGTTAAAGGATCTAGATTTAGATGCATTCGCAGAAGAATTAAAAAGACAGGTTAAAATAATATCGATTTAGAACGCAAACTTTAGTTATGGTTCTACCACGAGATGATAGCGATTGGAAAGCTTTTATTTATTCTAAATCGCACTAACCTCAACAACTGAGGTATTATCTATCTATGGGGATTATTTCTATCTGTTGATCTCACAAGGTTTCCAATTTATAGGTGTAGTGATACACAGTTTTGCCTTTGAAAACTGGCTAAGTATGTTTTTTCTTTTGGCAAAAATGCTGTTATGAAGTTATTTTATTTCCTGCGAAACGGTGATGTTGCTATATGCCTAGGTTGGCAATCTGAGGAAGTTAATCAGGTCTGTAGGTTTTGTGAGGTAAGTTTTTCGTTGTGCATCTTTAAATGGCGTGAGTGATCGTTGACTGGATACAGGACATTCAACGTTCTCTTGAGAATAAATCTTGGGTATACTAATTCGGACATAAAGCTTCACACCAAGTGCGTGGCAGTTCGACTCTCCATCGCCCATGGATCTTAGACTTTTGTAACATATAAAGCTAATATAAGACACAAACATCGTACCGATGATTACGAGATTTAGCCACTTCTTTTTCCTGATGTGTGATAGAAATTGTGAACTGGTGTCTGCACGACTACCATGACTGTTTTCTTTTCTTTAACTGAATAGTAGGAAACCGATGGCCAACACTTATTGACTTTGCCACATGAGTGAATTTTATGTCTGATGAGAAAATGACACATCTCGTACTTGACGTTCTGCAGGTCGTCAGCCGGACTGCAGCTCTATGTCGCGTCGTGGTTAGTAATGCTCAGTCACAGTGGGGTGCGAGAGCTTTATTTATCTTTATAACTGACCTCTCCTGTACAAGCAGGCGAACTTTGTCATTTGGGTAATGAAATATTGGGTAGAAAAGCAGCACTAATACGACGAGGTTCGTTGGTGGCTAATAGGACGAATTCGATACGGCGATAGTGGATTTGGCCAGAACAATCTTGTAGTTCTTAAAACTGCCTTCGTCGTTTAATCGTATGGTTTGAAAACAGGTGAAGTATTAAGTGGATTTTTAATATCTTATAGCAGATTTTTTTATATCCACAGTTAAGTTTTACTTCGGTCACTTGTTGGTCTAGACAATAAGCAAGGTTTTCCTAATTGTTTTGTGTGTTGTTTTGAAGCTTGTTTATATAGGGCTTCGGTGAGAAAAAGGCAACTCTTTACGATATTTCGGCCGAGTTAAATCACCGGTACAAGGATCAAAGAAGACCATTTACTCCATTATCTGACCAGGCAAGTTTGAAGAAGCTTTTCAAATGATCGCTTCGACAATGAAATTGCGCAAACTTACAGGAATTGTTTGCTTTGCTAACTAAAGAGTCAAAAGAGTCGTTGGTGGAGGAAAAACGGGTTTGTGGAGTCGTCATTGGCGTTCAGTTCAAAAAGATTCCTGAGGACCAACGAGCAGCCTATTTATCCGGACAAGAACATATGGTATTCAAGATTTCTAGCTTCAATGCCGTTGTTGCTACTTTACAAATCTTTTTAAAATTTTTTTAAGCAACGGATCCAAGACTCGGAATATTGGGAGTGTTCGTTTTGTCGAATGCCTATTACATCATCAAAACTTTACGAGCATCTGGAAATAAAAGTAGGTAGTTTATTTAATGTTGAAAGTAATTTGTTTCTTCAACTCCTAGTCACCTCAATGAACTGATGTTTTTGTTTTATTCTAACGTGAGATATTCTGGTTTTCTAGGGTTCAGAAATCCTACACCCACCTTTTTTTTCATCTAGCCTCGTTTCTAAAATTACGCGCTTGAACTGTATTTCGGCAGTACAACAGAGTCCGTAACCTCCTTAAATGGGTCATCGATGTTTACGGCTGCCGCAGTTGTACTAAGGATTTCGAAAACACAGATAGATGTCTTCACTCTTCGTTTGATAGATAAATTTTTGAATTATAAAAAGTTTGAAGCTAGTAGAATATTTTGGACCACTCATGCATATATATATATCTGCATATATGTATGTACGTATGTATGTGTATATGTCCTTAGGACGACAGCAGAGTCTATTCTGTCTTTTAAGTTTTGAAGTTTCTAAGCACCACAGTTGTCGAAAAATTAGATTGTGTCGAAAGCAGAGCATTAATTATTTCTTAGAGCAATAGTGTTATAATTTACCACCTGAGCCACAATGTTTTCAGTAGTACAGTCATAGGCGTTTAGGATCCGCGTAAAGGTGGGTGTCCTGGCATACCTGTTGGTATTCGAGTAAAACTTGACAATGGTGTGTGCGGTTTCATCCCCAATAAGATGATTTCAGACAAACCAGAATCGTTCAAGAACCCTCTTGAAAGAGTGAAGGTTTGCTGCCATTCTGCTAAACTCAGCCGTCTGTTGCTGACCATTATGTATCTAGCATGTTTTTCAGGTGAATCAACCTATATATTGTCGAATTATCAAACTGGAACCAGAGAAGTTTTCTTGCCTTTTGTCATGTCGCACATCTGATCTTAACAAAGAGACTACGGTTGTTCATGGTCGTTATTGGGATTACGAGGCTGCGAAGGAGGATAGTGAGAAAGACCGTAGTGCCAAAATTCTGAAGGTGGTTCAAGATTTCTTAAATTTTGTCCCTTTTTTCTCAAGGTTTCTAATTTCAGGCTGAAGCAAATTTTACCCATCGACAAATAGTACATCCACAATTTCATAATGTCAGCTATAGAGAAGCACAAAGGATGCTTAATGGGAGGGAGACAGTGAGTTCAATTTTACATTCTACAGAGTATCAAATATACACACTTGGATACTTGGACAGCCCGCCTTCACGTGTTGTACCTACACGGTACATTTTCCCTTCGTTTCTTTGCCTCACTATCATCGTCCATGGTGATTTGATTTGAGCATGGTGACGAGTGCGAGTCACATACCATGATCTGTAAAGTAATTGCAGCTGCGAGTAAAACTGTTTCACCTTAGTTATGAACACATAGGTCTAACATGTATGTGGTCCACCTAGAGGGCGCTTCCATTCTTGTGGATTCCACTCTTCAGTTCCTTTCGTCCATCTATCGTCTGTTCTTATTATATGGTTGGCCTATCTACGTGTCTCTATCAATGTGTGTTGTCCCTATTTTAGAAGAAGAGATATGTTTCGAAGACCACAGCTTCGTATTCCGGCAAGCTCTGTTTGTCGGTTATATTTCAAAAGACATCGTTTAAGCGCTCATTGAGTATTGCGCAGTATTCTTGACGTGGTTGAAGTATCAGCCCACGTCTCTGCTGCGTAGTAGTGTATTGGGAGGACTATCGGGTCGAAAAGGTAAGCGTAAATTTTCGGGTGCTTTAGTTGGTTGGTGGCTTCTTTGAGAGGCTTTAATGCGGCTCAAGCTTCTCTCTTTCTTCTATCTTATTCATCCTTCATGTTATTCTCCATGGTCATTAAACGCCCAAGGTATACGCGCGAGGTGGTCTCTACCTACAATCATAAACCGTCGAGTTTGATCTGATTGCCTTTGTACCTTATATTTCTCATAGTGAGAAGTGGGTTCCATGAAATTTATTAAGATTGCTGTGCCACTAAGACATATCGATGACATATCATAAAGAGTAATTTGTTTGGCATGTTCGACTTAATGTTTCCGGAGGTTTTGTTCCTTTCTAACTGCTGATCACGTCACATTCAGGCGAACATTGGTGGGGAAATAAACATAGATGAGGAGTAAAACAATTCTTTCATATTTGATGCAGTTTTATCGAGAAATGTGAATCTTAGGAAGGAACGGTCAAAACTTGGTTTCGCAATCCATCGATATGTTTGAAAACAGAGTATCACGTTCAGTGTTATCTTTTTAGGGAATTACTTTATGTATCTTTTACAACTCACAATTTTTCCATTGAATTTATTGTTCTGACTGTTCTATAACTGTTCAGGAAATGAACCACGAAACGCTCAAACAAATTGATTAAATTAGTGGATCTGTCTTTTCAGGGTGATATGGTAATTCGACCATCAGCAAAGTCAACAAATAGGTTGACAATTTCGTGGAAAGTGACGGGTGGTGTTGTGGCAAACATTGATGTTGAAGAGCACGATAAAGATGAGCCGACCGAATTAGGTCGTCGACTTACTGTATTGTAAGTCTTTTATTTCACTAAACTTCTGATAAGTTTTTCTTGAGATGTAATATAGTATGATATAGTTTTCGCTAACATGTTTCTGAATGCTATTCCTAGGGGTGAAGAATTTGATGATCTTGATGAAGCAATAACAAGGATTTTGTATCCCATGGCTGACTTATGTAGGGATATAACAGGTCACAAGGTCAGTTGGAACTGGGTACTGTTGGCACGTATTAATGCTTCCGTTTTCATTATGCATTTAAAAGTCTTCTCTAATTCATTCTAGTGAAGACAGTGTTATAATTATCTGGTATAAGTGGATAAAAAGAATAAAGCTGTCGGCGTTCATCAATCTCTGTGAGATGCACCATTCATTCGGCTTCATTGAGCATCGTTGGAGGCGATTGAATGCATATCTGGCCTTTGGAATGACTCGCGGTGGTCTACCGATGTATCGAGTCTATGCTGCTATCCTTCGAAGGGTGGAAGGCTTGGTGAGCCTTGAGTGCGGGCATCGATCCCATGTGTATTACAGGGTACCTTTGACCACTGCGCTACAAGCGTCTTTATATAAGTGGATATTGCCTTGAATTTAACAAGCGCTTTTGCATAGATATGAAAAGTTTAACTGCCTGCGCTATTTTCAGTACTACATGAAAGGAGTCTTCTCTGAGGAACGGGAAAAAATAGAGGTGAAACTGCGTGAAGATAAAAGAATGGTTCCTGGTAGAATTCCGTAAGTTGGAGTAATTTCTTTTCTAATTGGATTGTGGCGTTGTTTTCGGAATTCTGGTATTCAGGTACACGTTAACAGCTTCTCGCACCTATCCTGCAAAATTTGTTCTCTCTTATCTGGCAAGAATAAAACCATGTCATGAGTACATATCTGGTACGTTTTATGTTAGATATTTCATGTCTATATTTTTGTCTTTGTTGGTGTCAAATGTTGCCTAATAACGGCGTTTGTTTTCAGTAACTAGCGAAGGACTGAAGTTTAGACAAAGGTTTTTTTCTTCACTTGATGCATTGCTAGCCTGGTTCAAGATTCATTTTCGAGAACCTCCTCCTGGGTTAAATTGTGGGTTTAACTTCACCTTTTTTAAACATATTTCTGGTGTCCATTACTTTGAATTAAATTTGTAATCCCACTCCCTGTCTTATTCATGAAGAACCAACACCAGACCGTTAATTTACTGGAGCGTCCATTGTTGATGACTTTTAAACCGATATCTTAGGTCTAGACGTAATGTATTTTCCAGACACTAAAAAAAGATAGAAAGGATAAAACTCTCGGCGTTGATCAATCTCTGAGGGATATGCCGTGCACTCTACTTCATTAAGCATCGGTTAGAGGTGATTGGATGCATATCTGGCTTTGCAATAACCCGCGATTGCCTACCGTTGCATCGAACCAATGCTATCCTCCCAGACAAGTCTGGTACCAATTTGCTGACTGTGGAGGGAAGGAAGGCTTGGTGAGCTACAGGCGTGGGGATCGGTCCTGTGTGTGTGTTGCAGAGCGCCTCCGACTGCTGCGCCCTTTCCAAACATTAGGTGGTTGAAAAGATGAAGGATAATACTTTCGGCGTTAATCAATCCATGAAGGATGCGCCATGCATTTGACTTCATTAAGCATCGTTTGGAGTTGATAGAATGCATATCTGGCCTTTACAATGACTCGCGGTGGTCAACCGATATATCGAGTCAGTAGTACTATCCTCCCACACAAGTCTGGTACCAATTTGACGACCCCGGAGAGATAAAAGGTTTGGTGGGCCATGGACGCGGGATTCTATCCCGTCTGTATTGTGAGGGGCGTGCCACCACTGCGTCACATGCGCACCCAACATTAGCTGCACCGTGGACGATTTCATCTGTGCATAGCTCATGAAAAAGCCGATGAAATCTGCGTTATCAGAAGGTTAAAGGCGAAGTAACTCATGTAGCATTATGAAACGGTCGTCTTGTCGATCATTTTTGTTAATTGTTGCGTTAATCCAGAATGCCCCTTTGCAAGCTAAAATTCGTGGTCCCTGCGTTAATGTCGTAATTTAAGCGTCAAAATCTACGTCGTTGTGTTTTTACAGTTCACTTTCATGCTGAGTGTAACCATATTGGTTCAATTTAACTTTGTCGTACAGGTTTTTTTTATTCGATCTTAAAGTAGTCTCCCGCTTTTCTAGTCAAGTTCAACAGAGGCTTATTCAAGCTGTAAGAAGTGTGCTTATAAGGCAGAACTTGCACACTGTGCTTAGCTTCCATTGATTTGTACCCATTGGATATGGTCATTTGCAGCAGCAAATTATGTGATTTGTTGCGTTTTCCTTCTTTTACTCACATTTCCAGCTGTTCGAAAATTCCGAAATCCTTCGAAACAGCCCTGTGAAGCAAATGTTTTATTATGAACTATCTGCATATTGGATCATTGTGAAAGGAAACTGTTCCATTCTTTGTGTAAAACGATACAGAAGTGTGTGCTTGCAGAACAAATTAGGACATAGAGATACTGTAATAATAGATTTTGTAGAATATATAGGTTGTAGAATAGTTCTAGTGCATGAAGTATTTTCCGGCTAACTTCCGAAGTATGTAGATTTTTATGAAACAATTTTTATTCTGGTTTGCTTACTACTTAGAATAGAATCCAGTAATGTCGGACTACTCGCTAGAAGTTGTAGAATTAATGGAATGCTTATATGTCAGCTTGGCTCTTACGATCTTAGAGTATTTTGTTGAAGCAGTATCAATGTACTGGTCAGGTCTAATGATAATTTACACACTTCCTTCAGCTCAACATCGTCGATAAATTTGCGTCAATGTTGCGTGACCTATTGCTGGAAACGATACGATCTTCAGTTTGTCCTTCATGGTTGCTATATTCGCAGGTCAAATTGTGTTAACAGTTCTGTTAACATCGTTGGAAAATCTCGGTTTATGAATAATGGTTAAGTAATGAATACGAAATAAATTATTATTATTATTATTATTATTATTATTATTATTATATGTGTCGCTAATTCTATTATCGTTACTGCTATTATTCCCGTTGCTACTATTACTTACCACTAGCATGAGGATTACTTATTGTGCCCTTGGATGGTCTGTCTTCACTGGTTGTGCTCTGAAGTGCCAAGGTCGGTCTAGCTAAAATCTCCACCAGGCGGTCACCACCATATGCAGTCGTCGCCCTTGCGGATCGGAGGGAGATTTGCCACCATGCGACTATTTTGATACCAGGGTGGTGGTGGGTCCTGATATTGGTTTACTTTTAGCTGGGGTTTCCTTGTGGAAACGCCGGACTCAGCTTGGGAGGGCTTGCAGAGGTGAGTCTTACAGATGTTCATCGCAGCCCGACACCCAGGGACATCTCCCAGTCACGATGAGGCGGTAAACCGTTGGGGTGTTACTGTATTACTGTCATTCATTATTGTTAATATCAGTTATTATTAATCTCATTCATTAAGGCAAGGCGAGTACAAGTACGACAGATAGATAAGTAAGTGAAGTTGATTTAATCCAGAAATGTTTTGCAAAGATCGTATTCATCTGAAACATCATAAGATGTGTATATTTTGCTAAATAAAAATCGAGTTCGAACGAAGTAAGTCGCTCAGATCCTTCCAGTTTTAGTGAGGGATTTGTGGTTTCCTTGGTGTAAGTCAGTGTTCAGAATATTCATTACGATATGCGTTCGATCTACGGTGAAGATCATTTGACATCTTCCTCGAGTTATCCATTAACGTAACGATATTTTATATATATATATATATCGGAAGTATGGTAAAATATTTAGAACAATGTAAACCATGCATAGCAAACGAAAGCCACCTAAAGTACTAGCAAAATATAAAGGAAATCCGAACTACGCCAACAAGAGAGGCAGAGACATTTCCATGGTTGTGTACATTAACGGATATGAGTGAAGATCCACTCATAGTGAGTGAGCCAAAAAAAATCAAGCGTGAAATATATGCGCCAGCCTGACGGGTTTAAGCGTCGTTCTCTAATTGTTAAGATCACTTGCAGACCTGTCATAAGTGTTTGACAGTAGTCAAGAAACAATAATATCTAAAACGCCGAGTCAGCATGCTAGAAAGGTCTGGTAATGTACTCTCCAGATGTTCGGATGTGATTTTATCTACCGTTGATCGGTACTGTGCAATTCATCGTTGACGAGTTAGCATATTAGACTTTGGAGGTGGAAGCAGTTTTAAGGGTTTACATGTCTTTCCTCCGATGACACAAGGGCATGTAGTTCGACACTGCTATCGAGAAAGTCGGAGTGAAGGGTAACTTTTTCAACTATCCTCCTTGAAAGTCTACCTACACCTAAGATAATTCGATTTCCGGTGGCCCAACACGCAACGGGTGTTTCGGTATTTCTTGCCTACGTGGTAGTAATGCTCCACACCGTAATTAGGAATTGTAAACCTTAATCGACTTTGGTGAGGAGGTATTGCTGCAAACAGACGAGCTATTGTGATCACTGTTATTTATCATATTCCAGAACTTTCTGATCCTATTAATTACCTAATGTGTTGTGATCGGTTCATATTTTGATACTTATAAATTCAGCCGTTCTCAGCCATTTTCCAACAATCAAGGAAAAAAAAAGGAAAGTTTATGATCATATTCGAATCCCACTTCAAAACGAAAACATCTTCAACTTGCAATAGCTCAGTAGCAGCTTACAGGACTTAGATTTATTTACGTACCTTTGCTCGTAACCAAAGACTGGAAAATCCTATTAAACGAATTCCGACAATCATAGAGAAAAGAACGATCACATTAATCCACATATTTTGAGGTGAGAAGCTGAGACGTTTTATCACATCAGATCCATTTCTATAGCATCCTACCATTCGCTCACAACCTAAAAAAGAATATACAGGCCATCATTTTAGTTTAATCATATTGGATTTGCGGAAAACTGTCATTGTATCCCCTTAGTATACTTAAGTTTTGTCTCATGGTTCGATTTTTTCTGTCTCAAGTATAGTCACTTTAAATCTTCATAATGATTTACGTAAACTGGCTTCATTAGCTTTCCCAGATCTTCACAATACGGTAGTGATAAGTGCCTAAATCAGTATAGAATCTTTAGATTTTTAGGTGCCACAATGAAAGCTGATACTTTAGATGTTTTCTAAAAACACGTTAGTGTTGATATAAATTTGAAAAGAAGACTGCTTCGTAGAGTTTGTATGTTATATCGTCCAGGCGTTATAAGCGTAAGGCTATCTAAGCTTTAAAATGCTTATCACGATGAACGGCTTCTATGAATTACCAGAAATTGTGTTCACATGGGACCATTCGTTGACCGCCAAACTCTCAAATGCATAGCGGAAATAAGAAAGAAACTTGAACGGATAGAAATAAATGGGTAACGAGGCTTGATTGATGAAAAAACCTGAAATAATACAATCGACACTTAGAGCTGTTGATCAAACAGACAGAACACCAGGAATTAGATCTACTGAGACCTGGCTAAGTGGAAAACGATCTTAGGAGATTTAATAATAACGAAAGTACTGAATAAAAACCATTTACCACCAAAAGCCATCAATGGTACCACAAAAATTGGAAGCACGGCTACAGCAGTAGAGACAGTACCAAAGATGCAAGCCATGGTGTATCCTAAAATTGCTTGATCAAATAATACTCAAATTATCAGACTTTCTTGGATTATTCAACTTTAAATCCCTAATAGTAACAAAGCCTCCAACGGTTTACCGCCTCATTGTGGACGGGAGGTGATCCTGGGTTTCGGGCTGCGATGTACGGCGAGGGATACATCTAGCAAGGTCTACCAAGCTGAGAGTCCGGTGTTTCCTTTAGAAAGCCTAGCTAAGAGTAAACCAATACCAGGATCCATCACCGTCCTGGTATTAAATTTGTCGCATGGTGGCAAATCTCCCTCTGATCCACAACGGTTGCGGCGGCCTAAGATGGTGACGACCTGGGACAGACTTTGGCTAGGCTGACCTCGGAGTTCCAGAGAACCACATTGGACTAACCAGTAAAAGCCGCACAACCAGGGAGGACGGGTTATTCAAGTATCCAAGTAAGTAAGTATAGTAACGGACAACTTCTCGCGGTACATGCTGCATAAACTTGTGCAGTGCGCACTGAATTATTACAACCTTAACAAGGAAGACTGGATGACGACCAATGACTCCCATTTAAATCATAACATGTGCCTCATCACGAAATAGAAGTTCATAGTTTGTAATTTCTCGCAGTCCAGTTTTTTAGTTGCTGTACCCTTCCATAGGGACTCGTACAGCAGTGGTTAGAGGTGCCCTGCAATGCACATGTGGTAGTTAGTTCGATCTCTCGTCCTGGACTCATCAAACGTTCTATCTTTCCAGGATAGGCAAATTGGTACTACATCTATCTGGGAGGATAGCAGTGCTGACGTAATACATCGAAAAGCTGATACAAGTCGTTGTATGGTCCAAATATGCACTGAATTACCTCTAACGATATTTGATGAAGTAATATGCATGGCGCATCCCTGTAGGAATGGTCAACGCCGAGGCCTTTATTCTTTTCAAATTCATGGGGTGGAAAAGCGTTATGACCGTTCTGGTATTTCAACTAGTTCCGTACTGAAAACGAAAGTGATGATGAAGCTTGGCAAGAACCTTGTTGATAACAATGATAGATTGATACTGCATGATAAATGGTCACTTTCTAAGCCAAGGATCACAAATAGTAGTTTCCTCCTCTTCTACCATAATTGTGATGAATAGACTAGCGTTTTCATAACGACTACGACAGCATCGGAAGTAGGTGATAGAAGGATTTTAGGACATTTAGTGCAACCAAACTGACCAATTGAAATTGCCGTATTTTGCACAAGAACGCCGATGAGAAGATAGAAGAAGAACGCATCCCAAAGCGGAACCAGTTTAGACATCCAGTAGAGAATCGACGCAAACACTAACGCCGAGAACGTGTAATTCGGCAACTGAAAGCTATGAACTGGAGAGTTCTCGATTTCTACAGAAATCTTAACAAATGTTATAAAGCATTGAATTGAAGACAATCATGCGATCATAATCTCTTCACGAAGGAGATTTATGTTCTCTCATCAAGAAAGCAGCGAATTTTATGTTCATTCAATAGTTGTTATGTCCCAAGTTCTCAGAACTCTTGCGAAAAATTTTAAACGCATTAGATCTTCGTGGAATTTGGTCATCTTAGTTCTTTAAACTTTAATAAGTTCTACTGAGTGAGTATTTCATAGCAAAAGGTTTAACTACATGAGTACGGTGGTTGAGGTTGAAGAAAATGTGCTGTGGACGTATTAATAAAACAACTACGGCATTTTCGGTGAGCTCTAGGAAACCAGGTTCCAGTTTTCCGATTTCCCAGTGATTTACCGCTGTAGGAAAAAAGAGCACCAGTACTCTGTCTCATGAATTCATGACAAAGAAAAAAGCTGCACCATAAGAACAGTTCTATAAGAAACTACTACCATTTTCTTTCAGCAATCATAGGAAGCAAACCAAGACTGAAGTACAAACGACGTTAAGTATGTGAGCTAGTTGCCGTCACAGTGGTAAAATCCAATTGTGGATACTTAGGTGGAAACACTGGTAACGTTTCCTGAAATCTCAAGTGCGAAAAACAGACCTCTGCTAGATTCTTTGCGAAAAAGTACGCACTGACGCTGTAGAGGCCAGAGTCGAATTCGCGGTAGAATGTTTGGATTTCGGAACAAAAGTGCTGAAATCACTTAATTCGTCAAAACTTAAGCGTCTGTTCATTTCTTCAAATACCTTTTACGTCTGGAGATGAAATTTCACGATTTTCAAAACTTATTTGCTCAGCCTACTATAAACATCGAATATTCAGACTAGTTTAGGGTCTCAAACAAGTTTGTCTGCTAATTTTGATCTTTTGAGAAGCATTATCCTCTTCGAATCTATTAAGTCGCGAAGTTTTTTATTTAGAAATTTTCTTAAATTAGTGGTTTACTCCACTTGAGCTGCTTAACAAATAGCTTTGACTCAAGAGCGATACATTTCCCTTCTTCAGAAAAAAAAGGTGCGTAATTGTAAAAAAGTTTTTCTAAATGTATTTAGGTGGAAATCATTTGCTTTATGCAATCACTCCATTACGTCACATCCATCACATCCATCACAAGGATGAACCAGTGATGCTGGACGTGATATTGAAAATAGTTTGATATTTTCATCCGAAAGGTGAGCGAAAAGCAAGCCGATGGCAGGAATCACCACAGTCTTGTTGACCAGCTCGCAAATCTCCCCTCAATCCATAAGCGCTGGAGATTGCGTGTGTGAAGAAGTGAGGAGACCTTAGTATCTCAAGACACCGGGAAGGCGTCTTTTCCCACGATCAGAAAATTACTAGTCAATTGTAGATATGATGTGGATTGGTGGGGCTGAACGATTCCTTATGATGACGGGTCTATACTTGTTTCGAATATTTTAGGATGATGTGAAGAAGGATATTTCACAAAAGTAGTCAACAATAATTATTATTCTGGGATATTTGCAAAATTTGCACCAGGCCTGATCGAACCGGTCGGTAGCCTTTCCCGGGGCCCACGTGTCATCCACTGCATCACTGAGGCCCTCGTTTTGCCTTTAGTCAACAACGGTCTTGATAATAAACTGTCTAAAACAAAATCAAAGCAAGGACCTCGATGGTGCAGTGGATAACACGTGAGCCCTCAGAATGGGTAATCTCGGGTTCTAAGCTCACATGGTGTTCCGACTTTTACAAATATCTCAGAATCACTGTGGTTGTACTCCATATAATACACTGGCATGGAGGAAAATAATAGGTATTAAATAAAAAACTAGACATCGTGACAGTCTTACTAATAGTTAAGGAATAAAACAGAATAAATGAAGAAAACTCCTATGAATCTAAATGAAAAACTGTGGTAAAAATGCGTTATTCACAGTCACACTCACATTGAGGACAGCAAATTGAAACATGAAAGCCATGTTGGTGACCATCTGATAGAGCGAGCCGTTGATGTTTGCTACCTTTTGCTGCGTGTACGAGTTACTCAAGTAAACTAAGCCAGTGAGTAGGGCGATTACCTGAAACTCACCAACATCTAATCAATCACCATTCACTAACCCAGCCATGTAGTTTGTATATTCCATAAATCTACGAGATGTAGGCTCATTTCCCATGAAATTTCCTACTGTTGCGGTTGATTTCACGTATTCTTTGCATTTAATAAGAATCACCAAGTATTTATTAGTACCATGCTTTCATTGGGCATTGTATAACCTAATACTATAGCGATGCCTTTCAATTCACATTTTCCTCTGACTCACCACGGACTGAGTGAGTTGAACCTTCAGAAGTGTCGGCTCACGAAGAACTGTCACTGTAGAACGCCAGTACAATGATCGGAACTGTTCGGACCACCTAAAAACTACTTATAATCTGTGGTTTGCACAGAACAGCAAAGGAGAAATGATTAAATGGATACGGTGACAAAGCAATAGATACACTGTGAAAGTTAGTTTACTTTGCAGCCACTGTCAATACCGAGTACTATGACTGGAAAACTCGGAAAGTAAAGTGCTGTGGAATAACTACCTCGACTCACGCACAACAATCTGAGCGTGCTCATGATTGAAGGAAAGTTCGTAATAAAAATCACAGCGTATTTACTGTGACGTTTAGAAAAAATCAATCATTCCATTATTGAAATATTTCTTTCACTATGGCTCAACATTACATGTGTCACAGTGAGCTAAGTTTCTGCATTTCGCTTCGATTCTCTTCCTCGCATCCACCATCCACGAACGTCAACGAACTTTTTGTGCATGGTTTCGGCCACTGCTCAAGAAGTTTTTCTTCTTCACAAATGTCGTTGAAATCTGGTCCAGCCCCTTCATCGCGGAATATTGAGATAATTGTGTTAGGGCGTTTCCACTTAGATTAGAGGGAGCGTTCTTGTCCGAGACAAGCCTAGTACCAATTTCACGACACCGGAATGGTGAGAGGCTTGATGAGCACTGAGTGGGGTAAAATCAGAGCCTGAGTAGGTTGAGTCATCACAGTGATGAACGGAAACACTACCAAAGCGCTATGCGCTCTTCTTTATTGAAGTAGACTCAAATAAGCAAGTTGGCCTGACTGCCCGACAATATCCTGACTAAATAAACTTAGAAGAAATACAGTAGTGGAAAAAACAATAAAAGATAGTACTGCTCGTATAACCCAGTGTAGAAGCGATAAATTACGGAGGATTACTACTGCATCGCGTTCTTCATAAATAGATGAAACATTGTCACGGAACTGTGGAACTAGGAATGACATCAAACCACCATGTCATAGATTTTGTACTATGGAATGGTTCAGAGCAGCAAAAATGAATAAACATCCAGAAAAGTACTGATTATTGCTGCCTACGTTTCATGAAAGTCGCTTTTTAAGGTATTGCCAAACTATGTGCTAGCAAATGAAGTACCGACTCCTGCACGATGCATCGCTCGCCATAAAGTAGATAAAATCGGATGGCGACCATAGATCAACATCCGTATTGTATAGAAGCGCGCCGCCTAGTGAAGTTCCTCATTCTAGTGATCCTCCTTCTACTGAATTCGATTCAATGCGACAATCGCATTGCAACAACGATAGTTTGGGACCGTCGACTTGGACCAATGGGGCTCTGAAGAAAGCGAAGGCGGCGTAACGTTAGCCGAGCAACGAATAAAAGTTTCCATACTAGCGTCGCGTCAGCTTAATCGTCTAGAAAATCTTTTATGAATAAACAATTAGTAGTTCACTTAGTGCTCACGCGTCTTATCCAACCATGTATATATAATCCACGGGAGAATCGACCACCCAGAAGGGTCAAACAAGAGGAGAAGAGGAGAATGGCTTTGACATTTTACGTTTGAAGATCTATCTAATTGTAAACCAATTCCACGAATTACCGTGATTCTAATAGAAACCATAGCAAACCATCATGGCAGAAAGACTGGTAAATCACTAGTGGTGATCTCTTGGAACTTTCTGACACGGCATCGCTGTGTTAGATAAGAGAGCACGATCGTTCCCACGAATCAGACGTGAAAAAATCTCAGTTCGTTTTGTATAGAAGGCAGCAGGATATTATAATAGTTCTTAGCAAGAGATCGAAGCAGTCCCTCATGAGGCAAGACCCTGATTCAAAATTTCACCGACGCGCTCCTCCAATCTACGTGGAAACGCCTTAGATTGGCCATCTGCAATGAAACTGCAGTGAAAATCGACTCGACCAGCATTCTACGACATTTGTAAAGAAGATGAAATCCTCCAGCAGCAGCCGAAACAACACGTGATGTGTTTGAAGACCTTTGTGGACGTTGAATGCGAGAATCAATCGAATGCAGAAAGTGCTGAGATCGGCACAGTAGGTGCGATAACGGGTCATGTAATAATAATAATAACAGTAATGACAATTAACAATGGACGAATGATAGTCCGTCAAGAGCTACAACATCAGTAAGCCTTCCTTCTTTAACATTTTGAAATACTAGCATCATGAATTCACTCAGATTTGCAGCAGGAACAAAGTAATTCTACCTAAGCTTGGCATGTTCATCAAGATTCGGCGTTTTCAACTCTTCTCGTAGTCTTTTACATGACTTCGCAAAATTTCCATTTGAGAGCACCTTGGGCAGTTTCGCAAATGATTTCTTTGAACGCTACAATGAACTACAGGGGACACATGGAAGGAATTTAACATCAATGAGATGTTACATCTAAAAGAGACTTCTGGTACGATTTCGGTTGGCAACGTGGAGATTTCAAAAACTTTTTGTGTTAGAGGGACAAAAAATCCTTATTTCGACAGCTGAAAACACTAATGAATTCGATGTTTTTCTTCAATAAGCAGACACGAGGTTGTTACTATAGAATTTATAAGGATGCAATAGCTGACGTTTCGGTGGTCTCGCGTTTCGAATCCAATAACCTGACACAGACACAGTTATCGCCCATGTATTACTCTGTGCGGTTGCTATCCACCAACTAACTTAAACACTTACAACAAATAAACGGTAGGTGTTTAAATGAAGCTGTTTCTTATGCGAATACAAATTTATTTGTAAAGTTTTATCTGGTGGGGTTATGAAAGTGTTTGGCTGAGTAGATCGCATCTCAATTTAACCTTTCCAGACTCTGAAGAAGGCGAAGCCGCCGAAACGTCAGCTATAAACGTATCCTAATAAATTCTATAATAACAACCTTGCGTCTGCTTACTGAAGAAAAACATCGAATTATCAATCAATGCCGAGGTTAAAAGAAAGTCAGTCATGGGATGCTACTCTAATGAGTGTCAAACACTGAGTGAGTGGAAGATGATGCAAGGATCAGCAAGAAAACATTAGAGCTTGATCCATGGAATATAGATAATCGAAAAAAATTTCGGATGATAGTGGACTTTGTTTAGTAAAATAATCCAGCTCAACATTGTTTCGACTACACCTAAGGCCGTATACAATCTAACCACAGCGATGCTGAGATATGAGCAAAATCCGAGACCCCATGTGAACTTCGACCTCTCGATTACCCTTACCGAGGTCTCACGTGTAACATCACACCATCCGATGCCTTACTTTGCCTTTCTCTCAGCCATCTTTTTACTTTGTCGATGCTATACTATACTATGCATTTTTTACACTATCCAAATCATTTCCATTGACGGGTGATTGCTAACACTATCGATAGAGTAACACGGCTTAGAGAAAGGCAACAAGGACCTTAATTGGGGCGATCCACAACACCTGAGCTACCAGTAGGCAAAATCTTGGGTTTGAACCTCACATTGGGACCCGAGATTTGCTAATATCTCATCATCGTTGTGGTTGTATTTCATATTGTACTCTGCCATGAAAAAAGAGTAGGCAGTGAGTACAAAGTTGGACCGGTATTTACAATGCTTAAACGCAAATATAGAAAGAGAGATTAAGGTGGAATAAGTAAGTATAAGAACAAGACGCAAATAAATACTATAGTACTACAAGTTATAAAATGATACCCTGCCATATGTCGATGAGATTTTTTATCTTCCCTTGCCAAAGTTGAATCGTAAGAAGACCTGACGGCATCGCTTCCTGACTTCGCATCATAGCGGACATCCTCGCCTATCGGACTCTTGTCGAATGCGTCACAGATTTCCTGTAACGATAGCGATTCACTCAAGCTATTAAAATGGATTCAGTTGTGACCGGAAATGTTGTGTTGGAGTTGAAACACCTTTATGTCGAAAAATTTCGTAAGGTTTTCTTTCTCACTGAAAACATTGTAGAAAAATTTGAATCAATTACGGCAGCGCTTTTCTTCATATGTCGCTCTTCATCCTGAACAGCCAGCGATGATATGTAGTGATCAGCTGGGTTAAAGTTTTCTGGAAGCGGGTCTCCCAGTTCTGACCAGAATTGACTTGCTTCGGCCTGATTTCCACAGAATGCCACACGACCTTCGGCCATTAGATATATTCTGGAGATAGCAGTAATAGAGTTCTTTTCAGCTTTGAAGTATAGACTGCCATCAGAATCGTACAATCAATTAAGCGTTAACTGCATATACCTGTCAAATAACTCGAAAACTTGACTAGAAGGTTGGTGTATTGTGACCATGATTGTCATTGACTTTGAGACCGCAAGTTTCTTAAGAACCTACAAAGCAACGAAGTTTTTCATATCGAATTTTGGTTTAATCAATGTCTAAACACTACTATAATAAATACTTAACGTGGTATTCCAAAGTGTATTGGAAGCTTTGGGGCGGGTAGCACAGTGGTAGTGATGTCTGTCATCACGAGCATGGTGCTAGTTCGATTCCGCTGCGGGCCAACCTAGCCTCTCAACCCTCCGGAGTGGGGAAATTAGTACCGAACTTGTTTGAGAAAAAATCACTTTCTGCAGTACAACTGGGAACGCTCCAGTCCGGCTATCTCAGGACTCCAGGGAGAACTGCTTGACCATCATTCTACAACATTCAAGATGAAATGAAAATCCTCAAGCAGCAGCCGAAGCCACAAGCAAAAACTTGGAAGACCTTCGTGGACGATGGATCCGGGGAAATGAATTGAATGTGAGAAGTGCTGAGATCCGCACTAGACGTGAGGACGGATCAAATGAAATAAAAATGAGAAAGTTGAAAGCTTTAGACGCACTGTGAACTGGAACACATTGGTACTAACATAGAATAAAACTAATTTACCATTTTGAAAGTTAAAAAAACACTTCTCAAGAGTTGTGCCGAGTATGCAATCTATTCTTTCAGGTAAAGTAAGCTAGTGTCTATTTCAAGCGGAACATACATGAATTACTTGCAAGGCAAGAAACGAATCCAACCCAGAAGTAGGCTCATCACACAGAAGAATTGGAGGATTTGTGATAATCTGAACAAGAGCAAGCTGTTATAAAGATAGAGCTATCTGTAGTGAATATAATAGCTTAGGACACTACACTGCTCAATCTTTTTGCACTTTTTCAGTGCGAGAATAAAGCTGACACATCAGTCTTCAATTAGTCTCCTACCTCGGAAGCGAATGCGACTCGCTTTTTTTCTCCTCCTGAAATGCCTTTTCTCGTCCGTGTTCCAATCAAACTCTCAGCACAGTCTTCTAAGCCTAGCTGAAATTATACACTGTAGCTTTAAGAGGCGTTACTGTAAGGGGTGCGTGTGGCTTAGTGGTCAGAGGGCAATACACATGGAATCGATACTCGCTCCCAAGGCTAGCCAACCCCTCCATCCGGCCGGGGTCGGCAAATTGGTACCTGACTTGTTTGGGGGGATAGCAGCAGTGACTGGATACATCGGCAGGCCACTGCGAGTCATTGCAAAGACTAGATATGCATTCAGTCACCTCCAGTGATGCTTGGTGAAGTCTAACGTGTGGTGCAAACCTGAGAGATTGATTAATGGAGAAAGCTTTATCCTTCATTCATTTTATACACTGTAGTCGATCTGGAGGAAAAAAGATGGTAAAGTGCCAACACACTCGATTCGCGATTGAGCTATGCCTTTGTCAAGCTATGGGGATATCAGTGTTAACGAGCGACCGGTGCCATAATAGCTTTCTCAGCCACATTGCTATTGTGGATTATTTAAACCGAGTGTTGAGGCGCGGGGATAGCGCATTGGTTAGGGATGCTGCTGATCAAGAAGCAAAGGCTCTAGTTCGATCCTTGTCCTAACACACTCTTCCAATCCACATGGGAGCGCCTTAATGCGGTTACTTCCAAGATTGAAAGGAAAATTCGCTCGACTAGCATTTTACGACATTCATAAGAAAGACGAAACCCTCAAACCCTTTAAGCAGCAACTGAAACAACGCACGAAATGTTCAAAGACCTTCGTGAATAATGGTTGACTAATCGAATGCAAGAAGTGCTGCGATCCGCAAAGTAGATGCGATGACGGGTCACGTAAAAAATTGTCTGTTATAGCATTGAATTCAACATTTGGTTCCAGAGACGGTTCTGCCAAGAAATATTGATATACTACCAGTCATAGAGAAACTTAAGGAAAGAATGTTTCGTTATTTGCTATTCTAAAAAGTGCATTTGTAATATAACCACACTATTAGTTAATTAGGGAAACTTGTCGATGCACAAGTTTTTGAGCTGCTTACATCATGGATAAGTTGTTGAACCTTTTGTGAATGCCTCTCGTTCCGATATCCGCCGCCCATCCTGAGAATCGCCTAAACAAGTTTCATTAGAAAAATTAGGAAGTTAGGATCTCGCCCACAACCTGTTTTTCCTGTTAGTGATGTATTTCTGAAAAGATCTCTGCGTAATCACATTTCCAAATATAAGAAGTTTTATTTAATCACTGAAATCAAATTTTCGACGTATAAACAGAATCCATGTTCCATCGGTCTCGCAGTATGATTGTTCTGTTCCATTTGGCAACTGGGGGGCGTATGGCGCAGTGCGCTCTGCAATACACGCGGGATCGATTTCCGCGCCCAAGGCTCACTAAGCCTTCCATTGCTCTGGGGTCGGCAAATTGGCACCACACTTGTCTGGGAGGATAGCAGCACTGACTCGATACATCAGTAGGCCACCGCGAGTCATTGTAAAGACCCGATATGGATTCAAACACCTCCAACCATGCTTAATGAAATCGAATGCATGGTGTTTCCCACAGGGATTGATCAACGCCAAGAGCTTCTTCCTTTTTTTCAACTGAGAAATTGCAAAAGTATCTTCTTCAAGCTTCAAGCAAAAGTCCTTTCCTCAAGAACCAACTAGATATCTTATAAGGCTACTTAAGTCACCGTATAGGTCAAATATACTTTCAATCATCTCTACGATACTGCGAATGGAGTCGATTGCATGGTGAATCCTTCATGGATTAATCAACTTTGAAGCCTTCGTCCGTTTTCGATTGTCAACACAAAAAGGCCTTAAACTATTCAGTTAATTCCCTAATTTTGTGATATACGTAGACTAAGGATTAGTGACATATAGCAATGACGGTAAGTAATTCAATTCGTATACGCAGAGGTACGTGCTGTTCATATTGTATTGTTCATAAAGATAATCCTATGAAGCCTGAACGCCAGACCTACGAACTCCATAGCGAAGCTAGAAATCAAGTCGTAAGTAGAAAAAAAGCTCATTGTTCTGGTGTATGTATTGCCTTCTTATCTACGAAGAAATTTCATAAATAAATAAGCACCTACATTGAACATCAGATGTTCTCTAACAGTGAGCGATCCAATGAAGCAGTCGTCTTGTTGTACATAGGCACAAACCGAACGCATGAACTCTCTGGTGACCGGACGTTGATTCACCTGAACACTGTGTAATATTTTTCTCTAATGAAGAACATTGTACAGCAGCGTGCGTCGAACGAATATCCTCCTATCAGCATTCATCGGGCAAGAAGTGGAAGTGCCCCACATAACATTTCTATGTAACTGATATGCATTATCACCGACCCTTATCATCCTCCTAAGGAAAGAGGGATTCAGAATGATGGTATCACCTTCTCACATCCACATTACAGTGGGTAACAAAGCCGCCTGTTTTTGGCGATAAGCGCATATCACTGATACAAAATTTCTTTCAAACTCTCGTTTTACTGATCACATTATGGTCTTCTTAGCACTATTAAGCAGAGACAATTCTCGAAAAGGTCAACGGAACAACAAAGGATGAAGGTTAGAATAAATCGAGAAAAAAGAAACAAAATGTGAAAATGCTGTACACTGTAAAGCATATCTAGCTGAAGATGGGAAACGACAAGAAGGACTATACGGATGGAAGAGAGCTAAATAAGCCGCATTCAGCTCATTAAATTAGTAAGGATGCACTCAAAACTTGGAAAGTACATTGCTAAACCCGTAAAATCCTGTTGAAGATATTTTACCGTGCGTTTGTCACAGAAAGATGTTATGAATCCTTGCTCTCTTGTCCTTTCACTGCCATCTATGTGAGGTCATAAGACATCTACAAGTTTTAAACGATGCTAAAGAATAAATAAGAAGTAACAGATAAAATAAAAAAACTTTCCTACTCAATAATAAGAAAATATCAAAAACCTGTACAAAAAAAAAGATGATGGTCAGAAATCTCATTGAGGACCAAATATGCATGAATAGGAGCTCAATCATTCGCAGTTCATCACTTTCACTCCTCATTAGGAAATAGCAAGACAGATTTCTAAGTAGGCAATATCGTTCGTGTACCTTAATGCTACCATAGATCTCAAGCTTGTCCAAATTCCTATGTGCGAGCACATTAAGCATAGAAGACTTCCCGGCACCACTGGATCCCATAATAGCCACTAACTGACCTGGTCCGGCTGTCCCATAGACTGAAATAGTTCTACAACACTCTTCAAAAACAATGCACCTAGTAGATTTTGCGATTTTTCATCTATACTGCAGAACTAAAACGTACGCCGTACCAGAGACTAAGCGAATTCGACAGGAACACCACAAAATGTTCTGTAAACCTCATTAGAAGCGCCAAATAGAAAAAAGTTCGGTATTTAATAAGAGGAATCTGAAAACAGCGACACTCTTTGCCTTACCGTCATTCAGAATAGGAATTAGGTTTCTCTTTCTGGCTGTCTTCCCCCAGTTAAAGCATGAACTGCAAGATCTTCTCTCCTGAACGGCCTAAACAGGCGATTACGATTGACCCTTAAAAAGTTTCGGTACCCAGAAAAATTTTCCCGAAAATTTTTGCTTGAATACGAGAGTACTAAGGTGTTCAAAGAACAGAATAAAAACAGTTCTGGAATACACACTTTGAATCCTTTTGTGAATGCGAATTTGTTGATTGCGCCAATATTCAGGAACTTCTCTATTCCGCAGCCATGAAAGTTGCAATATTTCAGAGAGCAGTGTTTTTGACTTAATTGCTTAAATGAAGCCTCTATTTTATAGGACACATCCATATTGTTATCTTTTCTGATTAGCACTCAGTTAATTCGTACGTACTATGGCGCACTGCAATGAGGTATCGGTAGTGAGCACACAACCTCTGGTTCGACAACTAACTCAAACTAATCAAAAGTTTTAATCACTACAAGTCTGTTAGTTAGTACTAAGGTGCTATCTAACGTACATGATATTGGTTTCACTAACGTTAACTCGCATAAGTCATTGTAGGCTAGATGTCAGGATTGCCTTCCTTAATCGATTTTTAAATATAACACGAATATGGGAGCTCAACGCTATTGATAATATGCATTTCTAATATTCTATTTTTTAATTCTTTAAAGCAATTTCTTAGCACTTACATAGGCACATATTCCATACCACGACAGAAACATTGTAGAAGGAGCAGATCCGGTGCTTATCTATAAATAACATCTGAGCAGTGACTTCCACTAGATCCCTAAATCGGTTAAATAGTTTTGTTACTGTTACTGTTGAGCAGGGAACAAGTTGCTTAACTGAGGTAGAGATTAAGGAAGATGATCACATAGCTTCGTTTTAAAATTGTAGAGATGCTTCCGTGTTTACTTTGGGGTACGAGCAATCTTCACGAGCTCTGGGCACACATCTCCTCTGGAGTTCTTTTTTTTACCTTTCGGAGTAAGTACATCTATAGGTAGGCTCACCTGGATAATCTTCAGGCTCTGCAATTTCATGTAACTAACGGTGATCTCCTAGAGTGGAATATGAGGTTTGCATGGTGCAGGCGATTCCACAACCTTATATATATTTTCTGGTGGTTTTTTATACATCCATTTTTACTTTTTGTCCTATTCGTTTATTTTTTGTTTTTATAGCCAGCGAGTTAATTATAATTCCCTGATGTGTAAAGTACAAGCAGCATGCAAACGCACCATGCACACACGAATGTGTTCACCTATGCATATGGTGTTGAAGTCAACACGACGGATTGGATAGAGGTGAACGGTTGGTTGACTTTATGTGAGTCATTGGAAAATTCCCTGGTCGCTTTCGGCTTGCTTTTAACTCCCATAGTCACTTGAAGACAGGGAATATATCCCGAAACTCAGGTACAGCAATTAGTCAACTACACTACCACTGACCGTTGACCGGATTTTCAATACATCTGCTGGTCTTCATTACGTGCTAGAGTTGCCCGGTAGGTTGCACTCACTTCAGAGAAACTAAGAACGTCATGTTATTTTTCCAGCATGCTTGAGAGTGAGTCCGACCATCTGGTCGGCAGTAGTCATCTGCTGTGCGTTTCACTCAATAGAGAATCATTCCATAAGGGCAATGTCATCTGATTATTGTTAGTTATATATTCACTACACCATCTATCATCTTCTGTCGCTGATATAGGTCGAATTCTCACTCTTAGTTAGTGCTACCATCATCTTCTCTAGTACATTCAATGAAGGAACTGTTTTTACACTCAGATTATAGCGTCCAAGATTCCAAAGCGAATATTAATGCAGAAAGAATCATAGCATCAAAATATGGGTAAGGAGCAGAATACTCCACTTCACTACGTCCTTGGAACTCCTGCAAACTCCACAGACGCTTGCTTCTTCCTGCTCAGTTCCGAAGCGTCGTCATTACGACGCCGATGATATATACAATCACGGAACTCGAGGCCAGTTCCGTTGAACATGAGGAAATCCCCAGAAATGAACGTAGTATTCCCAATCGCACTGTCGAACTCAAGGTGCATTCGTTCCTCATGACTAAGGGTTTTAATGTTACAAGAACAGTATCGTCACCAAAGCGAAGGTGGTGTAGAGGCGCGGCATTGGTTTTACTAGTTTTTACGTTCACCTTACCACATTCCAGTTTTCGCATAACGTTCTTTAGAGCGGCGCTAGATAGTACCATCTTGATATAATTTTCTCTTCGCATCGAAGGTGATCTAATGGATGAAGAATACGTTTATGAAGTCTTTGTATAGAACGAGAGCGATCTTTGTTTACATAGAGGAAAATCCCTGATTATCAAGTGTCATGACTGCTGCCTAAGCCAAATTAGACCATTTTTTAGCGTTGGTGAAGGTAATATGAAGCGGATCCATTTCTCACACACCGAAAAATGCACCCATGCATGATTGCACATATGTAAATAAAGTGCATCAAACCATTATAGCATGAACAGACAACGAGTGCTAAGTGGGCACGAAAGAGTTAAGTCAATTTAGCACGTAAGAAGCAAGTAGTACGTTCTCTAATTCCATCAACGTCTCAGTATAAATACAAAGCGCGTCCTCCTAGTTCTTTCGCTTTTTGCTTTTCCTTATCTTTTTCTTTTCCCTAATTTTTTATCTGCCATCTGAAGACGGGTTAGAATGCCCTACATCTAGTCAACTAGATAACTCTTACTGAGGGCAAACCATGAATAGATGATAAAAGCGAAAAAGGTCTAGGCGTTGATCAATCCTTGAGGAGGTGCCACGCATTCGACTTCATTAAGCATCACTGCAGGTAATTGAATGCATATCTGCCCTTTAGAATGACTCGCGGCGCCTACCGATGTATCGAGCTAGTCGCTAGTATCCTCCCAGGCAAATCTGATATCTGGTATCAATTTGCCAGCCTCGGAGACATGGAAGGGTTGCTGAGTATGGGCGCGGGGATCGATCGCATGTGCATTGCAGGGTACTACCACTGCGCTGCACGCGAATAAGCGATAATAACTACTGTTGCAACTACTACAAAAGCAACATGGTTATACCACTATAAAAATGTACTAAGAGTAGTATAAAAGTACATATACTAGTAACAAATATTAAAAAGTAATATTCCACAAAGACCATATTTGAACACTTCCATAAATCGTCTACATGAATGTGGTTTCTAAAAGTTCACTAACCATGATTGTCCTCTACTTTCACCACATCCGTGTAGTTTCCGAATCAATTTCAACTGTTAATGCAGCTGGTTGACGTGATGTCCGGCTACAATCTTGTGTAACCACTTTGGAAGTGGTCGGTCTGGGAGACTGTGACCTCTTGATTCTTATCGACCACTCCCCTCCTCGAACTGTTTTCAACTACCCTATTACATCAGTGCTCCTTCCACGTTTCGATTTTTATGTATATTTTCTAGGATCTTGAAGAACGAGATATTTTCAGAGGTCTGAACTGCGTAGTTCGGCTTAATGTTGTCTATGCCTGCCATACCAATTCCGATGAAATTGTTCAGGCGTTTTGTAGGTGGAATGTAAAGTTCACAAGGTGGTTGTTCGTTCTGATCAATGTCTAATCTGCATAGTATCACTCTGAAGAGACAGCACGGAATATCACTCTCTCGGACATCATTTCTTGAAGAATGGCAAGATAACAATGGAAAAGCTGAATTACCACCCTACCTTCTTCCGACAACAGCGGGGTTCTTTCTTACGACGGCTGTACTCCTTGCTCCGATGAGATCGAAAGTTTTTTCACTCATAGTTTGGTAAGCACAAAACAAGTATAAGGTTGCACTTCTAAGAGCCTACTCTGATACTAACTAAGGCTTGCATGTGACTCATACTGCTCTCTAGAATTCTCGGATGGTGCTGGCCTTCCAGGATCAGAGTAAGGTCTATTGCATTGTGACTAGGATCCTTCCTAAGATAGCAGCGATTCCACGGAATCTTGCAATCGATCAGTTGATCAAGCAATCAAGGACTATGCAAGACGAAACATTTAACAATAACTTGGTTATGACGGCAACAACGAACGTTCAGTAAGAATTAGCGACAATGGTAGTACACAAAGAGCTGACTTCTATCACCTTCCTTATAAAAAACTAACCTATTTTCAGAAAAAATCTCGTAGAAACAGGTCTATTTGAAGACCAACGTAACCTAAACTAACCTTCGTGGTTATGCGATTAGTGGAAGAAGATTTCCCATCTGTTATATCGAGGTGCTTCAAGTCAATAACCGTTACAGTCGGTAATCTGAATGGAGTATTTCACTAAATTTGCAGCTTTTCATATCCTTCGATAATTATTTCTGTAAAATCTCACATTCATTCAGTAACTTTGATTTTAACTCTTGTGGTGGAAACTGGTGTTCAACCATTAACTAAGATTTTCAGGTACCAAAAAAGCTAAAAAAGGATAAAGCTCTCGGCGTTGATCAACTCTGAGGAATGCGCCATGCATTCGACTTCATTAAGGAGCATTGGAGGTGATGGGATGCATATGTGGCCTTAACAATGACTCGCGGTGGCTTACCGATGTATCGAGCCAGTGCTGCTATCCTTCTGGGCAAGTCTGGTACCAATTTGCCCACCCCGGGAGGATGGAAGGCTTGGTTAGCCACTACCGCAGGGATCGATCCCATGTGTGTGTTGCAGAGCACCTCCGACCACTGGGCCAAACGCGTGCCTTTTTTTAGGCACTAAAAAATTAAATGAGCCAAAAGAAGGAAGATGAAGTGAATGTGAAAGTGAACGATGAAAGTAAATAAAAAAAAATTATGATAACAATAGGATGTAAAAAATAACTGCAAACCAATATAAAAAGATCAATAAGATAAATAATAAAGGAAATTAATAATCATGATTAAAAATTAGATAATCAATTAATTAAAATTAAATAATGATAGGAGGAATTTATGACATAAGCGCTAAAAAAGTGACTTCAAATTGCTCGGTTGGTACATTATAGAACAACGGAGATTCCGGGTGAACTAAACTATTGGCCAAAATAGACAGTTTCTCCTGATAGGTAATCAATTAAAGACAGCACTTGCATGTAAAAAAGCTGAAGTCTTTGGAAAGAAAAGTCTTTGAGAAGGTGTTCCTTCAAGGTGAACAACGGGAACTATAGGAGTCGTGAACAAAACCACCGATCGGTACTATTCAGTCAATAGATCAAGACAGTCGCATTTCACTATGATGTCCGGTCAGTGGGTTGTACTAGTTAAATAATTAGTGGAGTAGCTTTACCTCAATTCTACGTGAGCCATTCTAGCCGATTAAGATGTTCGAATTCGTTATGGAATACTTGGGTCGTGATTTCGTGACGCGATGAGCGAGCCGGTCAGGAAGGGAGTGCGTTCCGGTTGTGATAAGAAGCGATGAAGGACAGGATGCTGGCTGTGTACTAGAAAAGGTACAGTAGATAGAGTTAATAGGCTTTTCATTACACTAATGGCTAGACAACGTCGTACGAGAACGTCTATTCCATTCTGGGAAGTATGTCAAGGCCATATTCACCACAAAGCTGCCATGATGTGTACTATTGCTCTTATTTTATCAAAGAAGTATAAAGCCTATTAGATCTTTAGTAGACAATCGTGATGATAGTTGTGATCGGCAATAATCCTAATCATCAAGATGGACATCTACAAGCATTTTCGTCATGTTGGCAACTCTTCGCTCTTTGATCAC